TGACCTATGAAGTAGCGTAGACCAGTTCAGTACAGTTCAGCATCTAGGGACGCTCCGAGCGAAGCGAGAATAAGTGAAAGAATAGAGGGAAGATTTACTGTAACGTTTATTAGAAATTGTCAATATTGACTTAGCCGACATATTTATATGCCACACTAGCATTGCCCGCGGCTCCGCTCGCGTTCAGATAACCAAAAACCAAATTCTTAGATTTTACAGATTAGTATATAGGTACTCTTACATTGCAGTTTTTGCATTTTTTCTCATAAATGAGATATTTTCCGCGGTAAAAAGTATCCTATATATGATAACCAACTAACACCATACCAAATTTCATCAAAATCCCTCCAGTGGTTTTTCTGTGACGCGGTAACAGAAAGACAAACTATAGATTCGGCCTCTGTATCGATAATAATGTTTATTTCAATAAGATTTTCCAAAACATACTTAATGTACAGATTCGGCTTAGTTACAATTTTATTATATGTATAGATGACGATATCCGATGATGGTACGATTGTATACACATACATAAGTAGAATCTATATATTTACGTTTCTTTTGTAAATGATGATACTGAATCTACAATATCTTGATGCCTTTTAGAGTGTGATTACGTTATATGGTACAAAAATAATTAAACATATTCTATAGAAAATCCTTCAGAGATTGTTATACGACCTCACTCTTAAAGTGAAGGAGTCTCCAAAGGTTTATAATATCTTTGAAACTATATCTATTACACAAAAGTTAGACCGTATCGTAATTACTTTTAGTTTAATTACTTACATACTTAATAAAATGTGTTTGTTGGTTTTTTAACATACTACATCTAATATATTTAAACGAGCAATTCTTGTATATATATATATATATATATATATATATATAATCTGAATCTCGGAAACGGCTCCAACGATTTTCATAAAATTTAGTGTACAGGGGGTTTCAGGGGCGATTTTTGATTATGTATGGGAAAACGCGCGTTTTCGAATTTTCATACGGTTTTGTTTCGCACGCTAGGACATGCAGGACATGACAATTTTTAGTTAGTTTTTTTTTTAATATTTTGCCGGCCAAAAACTCCGAGCGAAGCTCGGTCGCCCAGGTACTAGTAATTAATTAGTGTAATAGTGGGATTTATGTATGGAGTAAACAAAAACAAAATTGACGCGTCTATTTAATTTTAACACTATGATCTTAAATATCTGGGATATAAAATTAAAAATTTAAAAAATATACGCAATTTAGACAAGACGAAGTAAATCATTAGAGATTCAATAAGCATTGTCGTGAAATTGGACGAAAATGTATACAGAATGCTGTTACTACATTTTCTATGTAAATTGTAATCGGTGTTCGCTATATTTTCTGATTGAAAAACACATTTTTGCGAAATAATAATAGTGTTTTAGAGTATACTAGCGTTACTTCGTGGCTTCACTCTCATAGTTTATTTATGTTTAATTAATCGATCCTAAGTACCACACTTTCTTACAAGACGTAGTTTGTATCTATAACTTATATTAAAAATAGTTAATTTTATCAAAAATATTATTTCTAATTTTCTTCACTGGTACTGTAAAAATAACAAATTTATACACGCACTCAAACCAACCAACCCCCTTGTTTTTACTCTTTGGGGATGAACTTCCAAAAATATCTTCTCAGCAGATATCTACTTCCTGTGAGGTCCAGCCAAATCCATTGGGGTTCCTATTTCCTACTCAATTAGTGAGTGATATTTCGCTATAATGTATAATATATACTTATATAGGTAAGTACAGAATTCTTCTTCAGAATCTGTGCGCTTTCACTCGTGTAGTAATTCAATGTCAGGGCCACGCAAATACAAAGTAAAAGGCTACAGCTAGTCTGTTACAAGATAACTTTGTCATCTTAACTTTGAGAACTCTTTCAAGTTGGAAGACATCTAACTTTAACAGCGTTATCAGTTTACAGTACATAATTAAGGAATATTCGACGTTAGTTAAAATTTTAAGCTCACTTTAATTCTAAAATTACATGCCTAACAACTATGCGAACCGATGGCTAACAAAAATTCTGCCTTATTATATATTGCTGATTCAGCTTTCGCTATAAATATTGTCAATGTATGCATTCAGCTCTTTTTAAAGTCCCATTGCTGGCCTCCCTGAAGGAAAACTAGAGGGGGGTCAGGCCATAGTCCACCATGCTGGTTAAGTGCCGGTAATCGTATCTCTAGATAAAAAAACATCTCCGTCGATGCTAAACAAACTACAAACTCACTTTCTCATTAATAATTGAACAAAATACTCAAACCTTTTAAATATTTCTACATAGCTGTACATATATTTGCTACTTTTACAAAACATTTCTCATTTCTCACTAGAATTTACCTGAATAACCAAGTGTAGTGTAAAGATTAGGCCTCCATAGTTTACATAAAGAAATTGCCGTTTGACCTCTGCGCCTCTTAAGGGCAAACTAAGAATACAAAGTACTGTGACAAAGCGCCTTAGTGACCTAAAGCATGTTTCTCGCTTCTTCGAGAAAATATATAACCTATTGTTTTATCTTGCTATTTAAAAAACACCTGGTGCATATTTTTTTTAAACCTGTTCTAAATTACAACATAACTGGCTCGAAGGACTAAGTAATATTTTTTGAATAATATACATTAGTGGTTTATTTCACTAACAATTTAAACTGCTACTGTCATGGAATAATGAAAATGGTGTCTCTTTGATGGGTAACATAGTCTTTCACGTCGTCACTAGCTGTCGCGACGCCACCTTGACCTTGTGATATCTTGACAGCTCACTGCTTCTATTTGATCAGAATAGGACTAAATATTTGCCTATAATATTTTAATTGAGAAAATGAATTTGATTTCAGTATTTCTTGTGAAGTCCACCAACCCGCACTTGGCCAGCGTGGTGGACTATGGCCTGATCCCCCTCGTATTGAAGGGAGGCCCGTGCCCAGCAGTGGGGCGTTAAAAAGGGCTGAATACATACATTTCTTTTTTAATATTAGTTTTTGTAAAGATAACTACATACATTTAGTATAATGTTTTGTGTAGAGATTTCTTATAACAATTTTACCATTCTTAATACTCTTACTTAATAATCATTAGGTCACCTTAATTCTAGATGAAAATATATGAATTATGTACATACATACATACATATTTGTACTAAAATAAATATGATACATTAAGGTACAACACGAAGAGTTTTTCCTAAAAGTTAGACAGGAAATTGTATCAAGTAGAAAGAAATATGGTGACCCTGTCCTAATAAAGTGATTCGACCTCAGCAACCCAAACAAGGTTGGTAGTACCAAGGTAGCACCAACACATTAAGGTTAGCCTAGATTTATTAACTACTTAAAAGTCTTCAAGATTTCTATCTGATTTCTGGTAACTAGTACCAGTGGCTTCTTTTGTAAAAACTGTAGCCCGAAATCTTAAATAGTAAAAAAATCTAAATTCAGAATAACAAGGAATAACAATGAAGGCGAAGAACAACAATATTTTATATTTTAAATATCGCGTGTATGCTAGACATAACGTGAATTATGCATGTAAATGCACTTGTTAAATGCAACTCTGTAACAGTTTTTAAGTAAGGTACAACACTGACTTCAAAATCACCTTAGTGTAACAAATTGGTCCATTCTTATGTAATCCACCACAAATTATCTTCTGGTAATTTAAAAGAGTGGTGGAAGTATAAATAAAAGAAAACTGAATATAATATACATTAAAAAAAAACATACAACCGAATTGAGTACCTCCTCTTCTTTGAAGTCGGGGAAAAAATGTCTTTATAGCCGTTTCAAATTATTATCGGGTTTATGATTTATACTGAAGATTTATTTCACACAAGGAAAGTCTACAGATAGCTGAACATCCATAACGTATGATTAATAGCCCTGTAGCTGAATATGTGCTCGTAAAATAATATTCAAATATTTCTTATATTTATCACATAGTCATGCTGTAAAACATATTTTCTAGATACACAACTTCGAGACCGCAGGTTTATGATGATTTGTCTCAATATCTCGACATTCAATATGACAAGCGCTTATCGAAATATGCGAGAGCATTAAATCTAATCTATTATTTCTATACATATAATAAAATTGTAACTACGCCGAATCTGTACATTGAATATTTTTTGGAGAATCTTATTGAAATAGATCTTATCGATACAGAGGCTGAATCTATAGTTTTTAGATTTTTTTCTGTCTGTCTGTCTTTCTATCTGTTTTTGAACGTATCACGGAAAAATCACTGGACAGATTTTGATGAAATTTGGTATGATACTTTTCACTGCGGGAAATACGTCATGTCTGAGAAATCTATACTAAACGTTAAAAAGTAAGAAGGGACAAACCCAAGGGAAGCGAGTGTGAGTCGCTAGTCGTTCTATATAATTTTAAAAGTCTTTTTACATAACAGTTTTTTGATACAATATAGACCTAGAAAATTTGGTCAAAATATATGTTTTTAACATAAGATAATTGAGATATACTTATATATATATATATATATATATATATATATATATATATGTATGTATGTATATAAGTTCATCTGTTCGAGTTCACCAAATCCAACATTTAAATCTGACAGTAGTTTGGAAGCAAATAAATTTTCAACTATCACAGCTTTAACAACTTCGGGTAAAATGTTACCAGTACTATTTACAATTTTCATGAGCACAATCCATTTCACACGAAACAATTTGGATTTACAAAGAGTTGTTCTATAACAGATGCAAAATGTTTAGCAAATCATTATTTAGTAATCTGGAACGCCTAAAATTCGTTCAACAAATAATTGAATTGAACCATTTGTGAACCAAATATCTCCATAAATTAGTTTTTAATAATATGCCCATAATTATAAGTTCAATGAATGAACAATGTAAAATAAATAAATATGTACTAATAAATATGTTTTAAGATGAATATTTAGAAATAAAATGTAATTCTTTAATTTTCAGAGAAGGGCATGTACTTGGGTTCTCCGTGTGAATTCAAATGCGACTCCCGTCTGTTGCACGTGTACTGTGAGCCGCGGAGTAATTCCTGCCAGTGCGACCCCAAACATCCCGTCTCGTTGGGGGTTGCTAAGGGTTGTGCGAAACGTAAGTGACTACTGATATATGTGAATAGCTCAGAATTGATGACCGATGGTCACTTTGTACCTGAACTTACTCAACATCTTGCAATCTATATCACTACATACTACATAGTATAAAACAAAGTCGCTTCCCGCTGTCTGTCTGTCCCTATGTATGCTTAGATCTTTAAAACTACGCAACCGATTTTGATGACGGAGTGATTCAAAAGGAAGGTTTGAGTATATAATTTGTTAAGTTTTTGTATACATTGTCTAAAATATTTGTTGGAGGTATCTGGGAGCTTTCAACGAAAACGCTGCCTAAAACCTTTGAGATATAACAAAATAATGTATGGTGAAATTATGTATCCTATTTAGGTCTACAGAAAAGTCCTCGATGGCATATGGCTATCTCTTAAGGATAACATACTATATCCATTTTAATTTAAAATGTACCTAGGGACGAACCCGAGCAAAGCGAGGGTGAGTCGCTAATCTATACATATAATAAAACTCTGTAATAACGCTGTAATTGCGCAAGTTTATTTGGTTATTATATTTTCATGACCAAACCGCTAGATCCGTTAGATGAAATTTGGAAAATTTTTCGAAGTCTACTATACACTGAGACTGACTTTGGTTTCGAGCCACAAATTCATCAATAGAAATGATATCATTATTTCCAACAGCAAATTCGTGCTAGGTTAATTGCCATTTTAGGGTCACAGTTACTAAATTACACTCAGCGTGACCTACTTGAGTGCGGGCAGTGTTGTTGACAGGTCACCCGTGTTAGGTGGTTAGATGCATTCACGGATAAACTATTTCTGTGATAAGTAATTTACGAAAGCACTAATACGAATTCAACTTTGCTGTAGTGTGTAAGACAACCTCTATTAATATGTAAGGAAACTTGTCCGAAATTTCTCTCAAATTGCTGACATGGTAAAATAGAAACAAGTAAATTCCTCTACATATCCTTCTTAATCGCCAATTACTAGTCCTTACTAAATTTATTAGTAAATACATTCATCTGTCTGTTTTTTTGCATTCCAATAAAGAAGCTTTAGGAAAATCATAAACATTGGACTGATATTTAAAAAAAATACATAAATAACTCTTTATTCTTGATAAAGAAGAAAAAAAATATCCTGATCTGAAATATATCGATTTCACACACTATCACAAACTTCTTATTTTTACAATTATAATAATGTCATATTTTTGGATTGCAGCAAAGAAATTGGGCGAGCAATGCTTCTATCAAGCGACATGTCGAGCTTTCGACCTGCACGCGTCATGTGTCCAAGTCAATCATAACGCGTTTTGCCAATGCGACTCTGGCTACCACACCACAAGCCACTCGAGGCCCACACAGCGCATTTTCTGCACGGAAGGTAGATATATAAAATATTATCATTTATAGATACATATAATAAAATAATAACTTAGCGAAATATGTACATGAAATATTATTAATATTTTTGTGGTTGTCTTTATGTCTGTATATCTGTGTGCATTTCACGCAAAATGTGCTGAACTGATTTTAATTAAATTTTTAGTAGTGATAAGTTATTACATAGGTCAACATTTACGATACCTTTTACAACAGGAAAATCTTTAATTCCCTCAGGAAAACACTATAACTGATTCTGTCGAGTCGTCCTTAGAAAATAAAGCTAACGCTGACTAAACCTATAAGACCTAGGAGATACATTATAACAATGTGCAAGAAAATTGTAGGTCTTAAAAGGTTAAATTACTACATATTTACATTTAGAACGAATTTAGGGAAGCACCTGTGCGAAATGAGGGTAATTAATTAGTTGAGAAAAACATATTTGTTCTGTAAAATCAAAATAAATCCGCGAAAAAATCCGAAAATATAGTTTTATGTAAAATGTCAGATATTCGCGTAAACATAAGGAAGTATTATGACAATTTACATTGTCATATCACTCAACTTTCCAGATCTCGTCCTGCTGACAGCCGACATGCCCACGCTGTTAGGAGTAGCGTCGGGCATCTTCGTGCTGGCGGGGCTGCTGTGCATGGTCCTGCACCTGTACACGAAGGCGAGGTACCACCCTGCGCATCTCGCCGACGCAAGGCTCACGCCGCCTTGTTTGTACTCGCTTAATGACACTGGTGAGATCTTGGAATTTTATCTTGGAGTTTTTGAATTTTTAAAATCATTTTTGTAAAATAGTGGGTAGGCACTGTCTGTAACAAGTGTATGTCGCCTTTGAGACGTCTATAACCTTAGTCTGTCCCGTGAACATGATTGCTGTAAAGCATTCGAAACGTCGTGAACCAAAAATCAAAATAAATCCGCGAAATAATCCAAAAAGATAGTTTTATTTAAAATATCAAATATTCGCGTAAATCTAAGAAAGTATTATATCTTACCTTTAATATTCCTATTTATTAGTATCTTTAGTAGACATTAAAGATTAGCCTATTTGGCTAACATAAATACAATCGAAAATGTAAGAAAATAGAATAATTTCTATAACAGAAATAAAGGTATATCTCTGTTCATATTGAATAAATATGGCTTGTAATGCCATCTATTCAGTTTACAGAAATAAAGAAGTATTTCTACGAGTGTTTCTTCATATACCTACACATGAAGATATCTCAATTTAGATATAAGGATTGTTACCTTTATTGAGTAAACTTTCCACTCAACGATTAATTACGAAAAAGTGTCTCAAGGAGCACAAAAAACCGTCGGTCTTGTGCCTGATCTTTCGACGAAATTTATCGACGATTTATTTCGAACTTAATCGACGAATTGTCGTCCCACTGGAGTATGAGAGTGACAGGAATAGAAAGTGCCCTCATGTTTGCGTGTTTATTTATGCGCTATCGCATTGATAGACCGCTGTGAGACATTCTTAATGAATGAGTATCACTCATATATGCTATGTACACACAGGTGGGACGCTAAGCGCGACTCGCGCGTCGTCCCGCGCGTCATCCCGCAGCGGCTGCACGAGCGGGACGCTGGAGGAGTCCCGGCGGGAGTCGCGGCGGGCGGCGTCCCGCGCAGGTGCGGCGCGCACGGCGGCCATCTTGTTAATCTCGCGCCATCTGAAGGCCGTAAGGGACGGCGGCGCGCACCCGCCCAAGTGCGCCGCCAAAGGTGATCCGGATGATGTATGCGCGGCCCTCTATGCACGATTTGGTGTACGCCTAGACCTCCCCTAATGCCTACTATTGATGAACCGGTGTGATAGATTTGTTATGTATTGTGAATGGGAAACTATTGGGATAAATAGTTATAATATTTAGTATGATTTGAAAAAAAAAAGATAAATTGATATTAACTAAAGATGGAATGAGTACTTATGAAAATAATTGTATAATCGAATTCAATTAAAATTTTAATCAAATTGAAATATTATGATAAAAAGAGACAAATTAGGGGATTTTGATGTTATTTATGGCAGGCATTCGTGGAGTGTCAGCGTGGGGTCGCATGTTGTTCCACGTCGCTCGTGTCCGTTAGATGTCACGTTTTGGTGTTAGCGGCCACCGAGCGACGGTCTGCGACTGCACTATCTCTTATCAATTCATTTTTAACAATCAGTGATATTATATTGAATTATTAAAAATATCTGTTATATAATATGAGATAATTGATGAGAGTTTTCAAATATTTGCTCTTTCTTAGTTAAAAAGGTCTTTCTAAGCTAAGAGGTTAAAGTAGTTTCGTATATATTAAGTACGCTAGTGGTTATGAATTGTGATCTTTCAAAATATTTCAAATTCAATAATTTACAGTGTATTCCTTGCCAGTTTAGCAGAACATTGTATTGATGAGTATTTATTGTTACATATTTGGTATGTGATAGTTTCATATCATTTGCATGTAGAATGGGTCCAGAAGTTTGGACAAGAAGACTTACAATCGCTATGGCTAATAGATAACTAAACATTAGGTAAAATATTAAATGTATGAAAATGACATGTCGAAGTCAGTTACATATTTCACGCCAGAATATGTCATTCTCAGATATTTTTTTTTAGTTATCTATCAACGATATCGATTGTAGAAAGTCGACTTGTGAGGTGCAGAATAGTTTGAATTGATTAGTGGTGTGCAAGTCGCAAGACGCATTACGCTCTTCGTGTGGCGCGAGCAAGATGGCCATGGTCCTTGTTTCTTTCTTGTGTCTATTAGCTTTTGTTTTGTCTACGAAACTGAAGGGGGCGTAAGCCTTTACATTAATGACTATTTACTTACTATCTACTCTTAACACTACATTCAATATAATCAAAGCACAAATTGCTTAACACTTTAAACTATCATTAATCACTTTCATATTTATGTTATTTACAAATGATTACGTACACCACAATACAGCAAAATTGATCCAATTTGAAAATTTGAAGACTGTGATTAAAGTTTAAGGAAAAGTTTTGGAAATATATTAAAGCTACATTATTTTGTAGCTTAAGCTTATTTAAGTTCTTTAGCTACGCCTTTTGCATTTGGCAAAAGATTGTCAAGGTTAGCCAATGCTTCAGTTTCACGCCAAGCACGACGCTTCCGCTTTCCGTCTTCACATGTGTGTTGCATGGGATGCTTCGTCAGCACGTGGTAAAAGTCTTTTGTAATATATTATAATTTAAATTTAAGTAGTTAAAAAATATTTTTAAAGTATTGTTAATCTTTTCAAAAAGTTGTTCCTGATCCTATTGATATTTCTTTTCATTGTTCATTAACAATATGAGTAATTTTTAAATAACGTATCTTATGTACAAATATTTGAATCATAAACAAGAATACTATTTCATTTTTATTTTGAATAACATTTTACCACAGAATTTTCACCTTCCATGTTTGACGCTTGTAAGTAAGGATTGTGAAAATACTATATAAATAACGCTTTAAACACTAATTCAATTTAAAATCCAGTAGAAGAAGCTATTAATCCTAGCACAACAATATTTGTCACTAAATTGACGACCAAAATGATGCAAAATCTCCACTCAGGTTCGAGACGTCCAAGTCTAAGTTCGGTGCAGAGTAGCTCGTCGTCGATTCGGAGTTACAGCGCGAAGAGGTGGGAGAGAGAAAGAGAGCAGAAAGAAAGGAGACAGATGAGCATGCGTCTCGCTCAGTTGCACGATAAAATGGCGGCGGGCCGAGACTTACCGAAGCATGCACCGACGCCGTCTCCACGCTCACCGAACAACTCCACCGATGGGCTACTGCCGGCTGTTTGTGAAATTAGAGAAGTAAGTACATCACTTTTAGTTTTAGTTTTAAATATTAAAAGCTTAAAAAATAAGATGATATAGAGGAAACAGTTGTTGGCGCCAAAAATCCTCCTCTATTTATGTAACTCTAGAATTTGGTAAACCTACAGAGTATGTTTTTTAAACAGGTAAGTAACGAAATAGCTTAATTGGTCAGAGCTGAGAGTGAACAACCCAGATGAACAACTTGATTTTCTATTATCGATAATAGGTAAAGTTAGTAGAAAACCAAAAATATAAAAATTACAAGTCCTAAGCCTAACCACATATCATCGCTTAGATAATTAAAATTGAGTTTTCCATTTGCGCAAACGATTATGGAATTTCAATTTCATGGCCTGAATTGTCTATCAGTTTTCCATTTCTCAATTCAATTCTTGTTAATAGTTTTTAAACTTGCCATTTTGTATGTAGATGTAAAAGATACAAAATAAAATTGACGAGTTAAATCATTTGGACTAATCTTTATTCCAGTTGGTAACTAACTCGGACCAGCAGTTACAAGGTGTGGACGGACCGTGTTCCAGCTCCTCACTTTACTGACAGCAAAGGTCTACGACCATCAGGTCGATAGACTCGCTGTCCTCCGACGGCGCGCCCGCCGTCGCCTGGATGTAGTTATATAGACTCATGTCGCGAAACGAGAACGAAGACTTGATAAACGTGCGATGTAGGCAATAACTGACAATGAGACGACATAGGCGTAACTAATGCACGGCTTGTGATTGGTCATTGGTGATGGATTCGCGTTGGTTGATTATAACTTGAGGGTAATATTGATTTATTTGACGGCTTGTTAAATTATTTGGTTGAATTCATGGATAATACAATTTTTTTACGAATTATTATTATTTTGAATTTATATATGTATTCATTTTTAGATATATGAAGTCTAGGACGCGGCTTAACTTACCCACATCGGTCATATCATCACTGAGGTGAAATTAGTGTTAGTAGACAATTTATTATTTTCGAAATATTCTACCCATAGTGTTAAAAATGTAGTATTATCCTGATTAAATATAATGAGAAGATAAGAAATAACAGATTCTAGATTGCTACCAAAAATTACTATTATAATATTTTGACGTCATGACAGTTGGCATCAGACATGAAGCCGCAGTTTTCGAGATAACGTAGGTATGTGAAGTGACGAATGGACAAACACTTGACTCCCGATTCAGTTTCGAGTTCTAGTTACGCTTATGATAAGCACAAACCTATTTTATCATCAAACCCCGAACGCCATATCGAAATATAGAATTTACTATACATTTTGATTTACTTTTTGGTGCGTTTTTAGTACACATTGGAATAGATTAAGATTTCTGAAAGTCCGTAATAGCTCATAAACAGGTTTTAAGTATAGATAGTTCAAATAAAGGAGCCACTTATCTAGAGTAACTAAATTCAGTACGAAGTGGGTATTTGGCGAATATTTTTTTTTAATTATTTCATTATTATTACTATTAGAAATGAATGAATTGTAATATAAAAGTTTAAAAGACACTGCTTTGGTGGAAGTGGATAGTGTATCGCGATGTGATATTGTATAGCACCGTATTTTAAATAATAACGTGAAACAAAGTTATTATTTTTATATATTTAGTTTATTTTTTTTTTCAGAGTTAAGAGTAAATGGTTAAAGTCAAATACCCTATTATTGCATGTGATACAGACCATGTAAATATTTGAAATATTCGATATTACCAGCTGATTAAATTAGGTAATGGTTATTGATAAATTGAGATTTTTAGAAACGAAGTGCTTAAAGCTTCTAGAGAGAAGCTTTGCCGATAGTGTTAGCTCCAATAATATATTGGGTATATTTAAGATCGACATTTGTTAAACGACGTTATATTAGATATAGAGGCATATTTATTTATGTATGTGTTAAACAACCTGTTGCCTTGAGCTTAGTCGGGTTTTTTGTTTATTAAAAAAAAAGATATTTAAAAAGAGCGTGTGTGATTTTATAATATCTTAGAACCGGCTAAATTTAAGGAAGCAATCATAGACACAGTTAAGTCTTTAAATCAGCTTAATATATAAAAACGTATATTTGCTTGTAAAACAAAAGTTTTTACATGAAAATAACTCTTATATGCCTCGTTCGGACAAATCAAAGTACCTATAAGTACAAATTAGAACAGAATATCTAACGATAATCTTGAAAACAACTCGGTGACGAATGGACTTTGTAACTAGTATTGTACCTTGGTAGTTGGTGTATAGATTTGAAAATCGACTGTGTCTATGATCAAGGTTAAAACTTAACAAAATATCGATTTTATGTTTTGAGGTATAATGTTAGTGCTATGGTTTGCCTTTGTACAAATTTTATTATAAATTATATTATTTAGCTGTTACGTAAGCCAAAATGTTATGTTGATGAATATGAAACCAAATAAATGTTATTTGTACACGAGTGTTATTTTCGTAATGTATGAAAATATGTTATTAGTATTATTTTCCCTTATCTATAAGTCTTTAAAAGCAGAAACAAAATATGCTTCTTTTTGTGAAAGAAAAGACGATAAATAAATAATAAACATAAATAAATATAACAGGACATTAACACACAGCACCATCTAGCTCCATGGTAAGCTACGAGGCTTGTGTTATGGATACCAGATAGTTGATACACTACACATATTATATAACTTTAAATACATACATATTATAAATATAAACATCCATAACTGGAGTACAAATATTCGTGCTCATCACACAAATGAATGCCCCCAGCGGGACTCGAACCCGCGACCGCTGGCTCAGCAAGTAGGATCATTACAAACTGAGCCAAACGTATCTTTAAATACTTATATCTTCTTAAAGATTTTCTCTTATTATAAGTTCGCATTTAACGGTCCACTTACAGCTTTACTAAAAGGCATTCAATGTGAAATATTTTATATGCAATTCAAAAAAAAACGCAAGTACATGCGTATCTAACATAATATAGTCATGCTAAAAATGATATTGGCACTTCACAAAATCTCTTTGGTGCGAGACTCAAAATTCCATAATCAAACATGCTTCAATAGAACACTAAATATACTGTAGAGTCAGTTATACCTAGTTTAATAAATCTATGTTATTAAAAATATAATTAACCATAATTGGTCTTACATACTCGTATAAGGAAACACTGGCCCAGGCTATATCTCTTTAAAAGGAAAATTCTACGAATAGATACATCTTCCATATATACTTAATTGCAGGTATATCTTATATCAACATACTCGTAATAACTATTTATTTAATAACTCGGTTTTATCTAATATCTACTAGCGACTCAGCCTCGGTTCGTTTTCATGGTTAGTATGGAATAGATATACTATAGTCTATATATTAGTATATTGATGATGATGTTCATTGAGACTAGCCAACTGCGCAGGAGATATTATAGTGCTCAAGTGTACGCGCAGACACAGGTGCACTCTCTATTCCTGTCACTCTCATACTCCGATGGGACGACTGTTCCACACGACCGGTGAGAGTTAAGGCGTAGTACCGTAGACGGCTTTACGTGCTCTCCTAGGCACGGCGGTGAAACACCGCCAACTTCCCAACTCCGGGCTGTTACTGAGGCTTACTATATAAAAAGACTCAATAACTAAACTTGGCCCGACCCGGGACTCGAACCCAGGACCTCCGGGTGTGCAGCCGTACATGCTAGCAGTGTAGTGACACCACCGAGGCATTTGTTGCATTAGTATATTATATACTTATAACGTGGTATCAATATTCTACAAACATCATCTTGTAGACGTTTTCAGGGCTCAATGCAGGCACAAAATAAAGTATTCAGTACTCAATATAACTTAATGAGGGAAATCACAATGTTATAAATTAGAAACGATAATTCTAAATATTTGGATCTTTAAAAATAAAGATGTATTTTATTGATTAAACCAATATTTAAGAGTTATCGGCCGAGATAGAATAACCGGTTCATTAAATAGGCCATAAATCGTTAACGGTTTTAAAAAAAAATCAGGAAACAAGATACGAAATTTGTTTCTCTACAAAAATAGTTTCAGTAGGTAACTTTTGCCCTAAAGTGCAGTTTCAGAGATATCGGCCAAGTTTTTTCAAAATGGTGCCTGAAGCTCCATCGGAATCTGGCAGAACTTTAAGATTTTATACTCATACTGGCATTGCCCGCAGCTCCGCCCGCGTTCAGATAACTAAAAACCAAATTCTTAGGTTTTACATATTAGTATACTCTTACATTGCAGTCTTGTTATTTTTTCTCAGAAATGAGACATTTTCCGCAGTAAAAATATCTTATATGTTGACCCGGATAACCAGCTATCACCATACCAAATTTCAACAAAATCCCTCCAGTGGTTTTTCTTTGATGCGATAACAGACAAAAATTCTAAAAACTATAGATTCGGCGTCTGTATCGATGTTTATTTCAATAAGATATTCCAAAAAATATTTAATGTACAGATTCGACGTAATTACAATTTTAATATATGTATAGATGTGATCCTAAACCTTATGAAATAACAATATTTGGATCGAAAATTTAGTGCCAAAGTTGAGAAAAAAAAAGTACTTTTACTGTAGTACTGCACTGTCAAAGTAAATTAGTTACACAAACAAGACTGTAATTTTTAATATTTTGTTTCCATAATTCATTCAGACTTTGTACCTTCCTAATTATTAATATGCTATATTCCTATATAACAATACAAGTGGATAAATAAAACCAGTGAGAATGAGTTACAATCATTTTATTTGCAATTCAGAGGCGTTAACCTTGAGAAGATCTTGCTTGGTGGTGTGGAATGTTTCGTTTAATCAACCTCCTCGATGGTGGGTCCGGCGCCGCCACCGGGGGCTGCGCCGCCAGCGCCGGGTGCTCCGCCTGGGAAGCCTGGCATACCGCCGGGCATACCACCAGGCATGCCGCCGGGGGCTCCGCCCGCACCCTGGTACATCTTCGTGATGATCGGGTTGCAGATACCTTCCAACTCCTTCTGCTTGTGCTCATACTCTTCCTTATCAGCAAGCTGGTTAGAGTCGAGCCACTTGATGGTGTCATTGCACTTGTCCAGGATGATCTGCTTGTCAGAGTCCGAGATCTTCTCCTTGAGCTTCTCATCTTCCATGGTGGACTTCATGTTGAAGCAGTAGGATTCCAGGGCGTTCTTGGCCTGGATGGTTTCCTTTTGCTTCTCGTCTTCGTTCCTGTACTTCTCCGCCTCGTTGACCATGCGCTCGATCTCCTCCTTCGAGAGACGGCCCTTGTCGTTGGTGATGGTGATCTTGTTCTCCTTGTTGGTAGACTTTTCGACAGCGGACACGTTGAGGATGCCGTTAGCGTCGATATCGAAGGTGACCTCGATTTGGGGAACGCCACGAGGCGCGGGAGGGATGCCAGTCAACTCAAATTTGCCGAGGAGATTGTTGTCCTTGGTCATGGCGCGCTCGCCTTCGTACACCTGGATGAGTACTCCAGGCTGGTTGTCCGAATAGGTGGTGAAGGTTTGGGTCTGCTTGGTGGGAATGGTGGTGTTGCGCTTGATGAGCGTGGTCATCACTCCGCCGGCGGTCTCGATACCGAGCGACAGTGGGGTCACGTCGAGCAGCAGCAGATCTTGCACCTCCTCGGACTTGTCGCCGTGCAGGATGGCAGCTTGCACCGCGGCTCCGTATGCGACGGCCTCGTCGGGGTTGATGGATTTGTTCAGCTCCTTGCCGTTAAAGAAGTCTTGAAGGAGCTTCTGCACCTTGGGAATACGGGTGGAACCGCCGACGAGTACGATATCATGGATTTGAGATTTGTCCATTTTAGCATCGCGGAGTGACTTCTCGACGGGTTCCATGGTGGACCTGAAGAGATCGGCGTTCAGTTCCTCGAAACGAGCCCTGGTGATGGATGTGTAGAAATCGATACCCTCGAAGAGAGAATCGATTTCAATGCTCGCCTGGGTAGAGGAAGAAAGGGTCCTCTTCGCCCTCTCGCAGGCGGTTCTTAACCTACGGAGCGCTCTCTTGTTGGTAGTGAGGTCCTTCTTGTACTTCCTCTTGAATTCCTGGACGAAGTGGTTCACCATGCGGTTGTCGAAGTCCTCGCCTCCCAAGTGCGTGTCACCGGCGGTGGATTTAACCTCGAAGATACCATCCTCGATGGTCAGGATTGACACATCGAAAGTACCACCACCGAGATCGAAAATAAGGACATTACGTTCTCCACTTCCTTTTTTGTCAAGACCATACGCAATCGCAGCAGCAGTGGGTTCATTGATGATTCGGAGAACGTTAAGGCCAGAGATGGTACCTGCATCCTTTGTGGCCTGCCTTTGTGAGTCGTTGAAGTACGCTGGAACCGTGATGACTGCGTTTTGCACCGTTTTGCCGAGGTATGCCTCGGCTGTTTCCTTCATCTTTGTAAGCACCATTGAGCTTACTTCCTCGGGGAAGAAGGTTTTGTCTTCACCTTTGTATGCTACCTTAATCTTTGGTTTGCCTCCATCACTGACCACTTCAAATGGCCAATGTTTCATGTCGGCTTGTACAGTAGCATCCTCGAACTTGCGACCAATAAGTCGTTTGGCATCTGTAACAAAAAACAATCTTATTAAAATCTGAATTATCTCAAATATTTTTACAATATTTACAAAAATAATCTCAGATTACTTTTCTCATTCACTATGTTCAGAGACTCTAGTCTAGTATATTGGTTATCATCATTAAAAACTGAATAAATCTACATTACCATACAAGATCGCAATGTTACTAATGTGTGATAAAAATTATGATATCACTATAATATATTTTAAAAATAAACTGGTTTTATAGCAATGACCTAGGATCTCTAGGAGTCTAGATAAAAATATAAACCAATAATCCATTTGGCTTGACATTATATATTACATTTCATTTTAAAATTGTGTTAAATTAAGAAAAGACAAAAAAAATAGAACCCAAAAAGGTACAAGTCTATAGGTTTTAAAAATATTCTAATAGTAAGTGAAAAGAAATGAAATAATGCGCCTATAAATGAAAATTGCGTACATTTTGCTGAATTTTTCTCATTATTGAAAAATTAGCAATTAAATGGGTTTGTATAGTGTATTCACAGATGGCGCTTTTACTTTTTTCAGTTACAATGTAAGTAGGGACGAACCCGAGCAAAGCGAGGGTGAGTCAGTAGTTTATAGAATAAAACAGCCCAGCTCTTTGCAGATCAACAACATCTATAATATCTATTCAACAAGCAAACAACAAATTTTCAACGCATGAGTAAATATAGATAACAGGAAGTACATATTGGTCATACTTCAAATGTATGTCGTAAAAAATAACTATTGTAAGCAGAAACAAATTTAGGTAGTCTTATTATTTTGGTAGTAATGAATAGGAATGCTCCTTTGTCTGCGTTTTGTTTTAAGTTATGACATAAGTAGTGGTATATTACATACATTCATATATTTTCTATATGATTTAGGATTTATAAAAACTTAAAATACCATTAATTCAGAGTTTGTAATAAAACATCCTTGTAACAATGTTAATAAAATATAAAATTTTGTTTCATATTATGAAACTATGGAAAATCACAGGAAAATTTTTCTTTACTAAACTAGAAAAAATATGACTCATTTTTATAATCTTTTCACAAGTTATTATCTTGATAAACTTGACCGACCTTTAAATTTATTGCATGTTCATTATTTTCTCTTAATATTTATAAAAACCAAATTGTAACTTCTATCAACTCAATAAAATCTTACCGAAAATAGTGTTGTTAGGGTTCATCGCCACCTGGTTTTTAGCGGCATCTCCGATGAGACGCTCAGTGTCGGTGAACGCGACATATGAGGGAGTGGTCCTGTTGCCCTGGTCATTGGCGATGATTTCCACTTTACCGTGCTGGAATACACCCACACACGAGTAGGTGGTACCCAAATCAATACCTACAGCGGGAGCTTTTGCCATCTGCAATAGAAAATCGATAATTAGTATACATAATAGTATTTGATTTGATACGATAGCTAAACGACTGCTTTGTGGACCAAATGGGTACGGTGATAAGTTTTATTTAATTACTTATTAAAAAATACTTTTACTAATTAAGAAATAAAACACGGAAAGTCAATACCATAATATAGTTCTAAAATGCTCACAAATTTTGTTATCTAAACTATAGGCAGTCAACTCATGAAATCATCACGCGTTTTACGCATGGCAGCCATCGCACTATGAAAGCATGTAATCGATGAACATTAGACGAACGTTCTGGAAAGTTCACTGAAGAACAATGCGTGTTCATTTTAACCGTTAGGTAACAAATAATATACACAATGTAACACTTAAAATATTTGAAGGGCGTTACCACGTGTAAGTTACATAGTGACAGACAGGAAGGGCAAAGAACCCGTAACAAGAGAATGAATCAGCAAGAATTTGATGAAATAATAAAATTAATAACCTATTAGTTTATAGGTTAGTAAAAAAAGGAACTGATGACTAATCACGGAAAGATAGTTCAAGGAACTTCCCCAATTGAGAATACCAATTGCGTCAGACTATAATTTTTGGAAAAAAAACTTAACATTCATTTCTAAAATATAAGAACATAAATTAAATGAGAATAAGAATAATTTAAAAAATATCTTAAATACTCACATTTTTAACTTAGCTTTATTCTTTTAACTATGAAGACTTAAATAGTAGTACACTCAGCAAACGTGCGCGATTGTCGGCCTCTTTTCACAAAGTAAGATGGCGTATGACGCGGTGCAAGCACTTTATATGCGAGTACGTAATCGCTCGATGTCACTAGACTTTTCTGGAACATTCCTCGCCGTGGACCAATAGGATTGAAGCACTTTTGGCGCGCGTTGTAATGATTGGATGAATATTTTTATTCCAGAACATCCATGACGGAACGAGAGATTTTGTGTTAATTAAGTGTTGTGCCAGTATCGAGGTTTTATATAATATTATTACTTTACGATTTCATTTTAATGTTATTTATTTAGGAACGGAGATCATTAAATATATACTTCATTTTCTCTTTTAGTAAATAATATAATGGACTTGCATCTCCGTTCTCCAAAGTTTGCAAGTATTGAAAGGCAACTAGCAAGAATAACCGCGTGTGAGAATTGGTAATACTGATAATAGATTAGTATAATAATAGTCTAGTAAAGTTAAGCAAACGTTTGAAATTAAATAGGCTCCAAAATTACTATATGAATTCCAACGCAGGATTTTAATGTTATAATAATTATATTTTCTTTATTGTACAGCTCACTCTTCGTTATATTATACTATGATTAATTGTCGGCTTAGTAGATTAATTACCCTTTACATCATGCATTTTTTTTCTGTACATCGTCCTGTTACATGTTTGTGCAATAAAGGATATATAATAAAACATGCAACTTGATCTCCTCGTAATAAGTAAGGTGACTTTTCCAATTTGATTCACATACGTGTCTTATTTAATCAAAAAAATAATAATAATAAATTCACATTTATCGATATCGATAAAAATGTTGTGTTATGTAATGCACTATAGATTACTAAAGGCACATTGAATTTGATTGGTAAGCAGAGGCCACAGACTATACACATACAGACATAAAACCGTTAAAATAAATCAATACAAAAATTGCAGTATGTTTAAGTCGCATTGCGTTTGCGTTATTTTATTTATTGTTTTAAGTTAGAATTTTTAAAAGCAACAGCAAATTGTTTGTTGTTATATTCTTAAAATTTATCTTAAACCTAAGTTATTAATTGTTGTGAAATGAGTTTCAATAAAAACTTTACAATTACCTACCTTACCTATTTTTTAAATAAATTTACGCAGATATTATATATAAATATACCTATTTTTTCTCAATTCCAGGATTAAGGAATTGAAATTAAACTTGGCTTTATTTTAAAATTAAAGTTTTAAAATTATTATTTTACCATATCTTTTATTGAAGAACTTCACTGAATTACCATAATATATGATAAAGTATTATGCACATGCATATTATGTTTCATAATTTAAAAATGTACAAACTTTGCCAAATACTGTCCTGCACTCCTGTTGCTTTTTATTTTAACATTTTATTAACGGTCATTTTTCCCTTGCCGCGGGCCACCATTTGGATCACTTTATTATTTTTCTAAATTTGCGGGCGTACGATATGTAAATTTGTGGGCGTACGATAAAACGCGAATAATTAATAAATAAAATTTTCTAAATTGTCGTTTTTTAGTGATACGACAAAACACGAATAGAGGACACTTAAATAAAAAATGTATGACCTAGTAAATATTTACTTGAGAAGTATTACTATTAATTATTTAGGTAAGTATTTTCTATTGATACAAGTTTATTTGTGCGCTGCAGCCGTATTTGAAAGAAAAAAAAATAGCAGCGATTAGCTAATGCCAGCTTACATGGAAACATTATCTATCCAATTTGGGAATAGATGGCCATAGAAAAATTTTAATGGAATGGATAAATAATAATAAAGTCAAAACCCAAACTGCAAAATGTTTAATAAAAACAGTAATACAATAAATTACACTTAAACACATAACTTGAGCTAAAAATATCGACACACTCCCAAAACAAACTAACGTTATCCAAAATATAAAACAAAAAAAAACATTTATAGTCTTTTTCAAATTTACAAAAAAAAAACCATTTAAAAACATAGTTCTCTACAATAAATACATATATTATAAATTACGAAATATAAACAATCCAATTTCAATTCAAGACAATTTTCAAATGCTTTATGTACATAAAAAATAAAGGAACATTTGTCTGTATCTTGACAACTCAAACACATATTAAATTTAAAAATAAACACTGCATAAAGCAATACTGGGTCCTGTTAAAATAATATTAATAAACTGCAAAAATTTATAGTTAATCTTATTAACAAGCTCAATTGATTTAAACTGTTTGTAAAGAATGTTATAGTTAGGATTGCTTTTTACTTGATCTGAAATAATTTTGCGAAAAAACTTAATAAAATAAATTAATTTTAGTAGTTTTTTCATTAATTTAATAAAATACATGTACTAAATAACAATGACTTCGCAGGAAACCTACACTATATGAACTTGTAAAATAAATAAGTCTACCTTTTTCCAATAAAGGCGCAATTCCAATTTAATTAAATAAATAAATATAATATATGTATACACTATACAGCTAAGACTAGATATTAAAGCACTAAGATCATGAGATTCTGAAGTAAGTCTGATACATGGTGCCGAGGGAGGTGGTGATGAACCACGCAAAGCAACACCACCAGGTCGCGAAGCCAAACACTCCTCTATACACTTCTGAAGTGAATATCTGTTAATAAAAAAAAGTATTTATTATTATTACACTTTACACACTAATTACATACTAATTACACACTAATTAAATGAGGTAAATTGAAAGCTGCAGTAGTACTCATTGAGGAGTTATAGTGGCTATTCTCAGGTTCAATCAGTTCAATGGTTTTAAAATATTGTATTATGACAACAAATAAAAATATGGACCTTGAACTCAGGACCTTAGGATCTACAACTCAACATTAGTGGCAACTAATAATAAAGATAAAATGGAAGATTGTAGTATGTCATCAGAAATCCTCTTTACTTACTTAAGAAAATAAACTTTAAATTTAGGAATTAAAAAGGCTTACCATTTTCAAATTCTCCCACGCCATCTGGAACTGTTCCATACCTTCTAAGTTAATAACTGAACCCTCACTAGAGTTACTCTCACTCCCTTCATCATACAACAGTGAGGACCAGGAGTATCCTCCCAGAGTTTTATACATGAGGGCAAAGTATAGACACATGATGATCGGACATACATATTGTAACGCCACTACACACAGATAGTAGAACACTGATGCAATCTGTTGAACAAAAATAAGTTTGGAAGATATGAGGGAATAAAGAATATTACAAACAAACATACAAAGATAGGCGCGAAAAACATAACCCTTCCCTTGCAGTCGGGTAAAAAGCTATGTCCTAGGCTGTATAATATAAAGTACAGAGTACATATATGCCTTACTTTTTTTTGCAAATCGATGTTGGTTATTCTTCCCGCTTCTTTTTTTTGTACATCAAGTCTACGCTGTGCCATATCCAAGTATGCTTGCAGTTGTCGTGGCATCAGTGCTATGCGTAGTGCTATAGTCACTATTACTAGGATGAGACGGAGAGTGTCGAATGCTTGAGTTGTCATACTAGAATATAAAACAGAATGAATTATCTATACCAATATTATAAAGGGGTAAAGTTTGTGATTTGTGAGTTTGTTAAGTTGTAGGGGGTAATCTCTGGATCTACTGAACCGATTTAGATGAAATTTGGTAAGAAGATAGTTTGAGACTCTGTGAAGGATATAGAATAATTTTTATCCTGGAAATCATCCCTTAAGGGGGTAAGTCGATAGTTATAAAATTAATACTTTTCAACTAATATTGTAGAGCAAATACAAAATAACTTTAAATACTAAAAACTTATAAAATGAAGTACATATAAACGTAAAATACCTATGAATATATTACAAAAGTACTTTAATAGGAATAACTACTTGCATATTATATTAACTTACAGAGGTTTTTCCATGCCACTAAATACTCTGACAGCCAAATAATGTTTTGCAACTGGACGAACCCACAGCATAGCTAACACAAATGGCATAGCAAAATTAATGTTCAGTAATAGACCTTTAACTTTGTTGTCTCCATAGTATCTAAAATTAAAGAAAACATTTGTTTTTAAAGTTAATATTATAGTATATCATATAATGATATAGTATATCATTTTCAATATTTTTCACATTAAGAATTACCTCAATGAATCCCAATGCATCCTAGCCACTCGGAGACCGGGGAATGTGAACAATGTGCCAATTATTGCTGCCCACACAGCCAATGAGAATTTTAATACCAATTTTGAAGCTGGACCTCTATAAAGTAAAAATAATACAAAAATTTATTTTTTCATTTATATGTAACTGTCTATTTGTATGTATGTGTCGAAGAAAAAAGAACTGAAATATAATTATTAGTTATAATAAATAAGTGGACAATAGTAACAGTTATTATTTATATAAAAATAATTATATCATAGGTATATAAAGAAAAAAAAATATGTTTGTAATGGATAAACAAAAAAATCCACTAAACCGATTTAGTAGAAATTTGGTATGGAGATAGTTGGAGACCCTGGGAAGGACATAGGAGTTTTCATCCTGGTAATCATCCTTTAAAAGAATGAAAAGGGGAATGAAAGTTTGTATGGGGAATCAATCATTTCTCAAGTAAGAGATATACAACTCATCATAATATCTATATTTATATTTATACTACATAATATATAGTCGATATATTCCATATAAACTGTTAAAACATGCCTAGGAACTAACCCGGGTGAAGTGAGGGTGAGTTGCTTGTTATTTATTACAATTTTATTCTAAACTATCAAAAACTTAAATACTCACACTGAAGTCAACCCTTGATTTTCTAAAAACTTTGATGCATTATCATAAAAACTATCATACGCTGGGTCCACACCTACTTCCAAATTTTTTTCATCCACAATCAATACGATCATAGCTATAAGTAAAAATACACAAAATGCCACAATGCAAGTAGATCTTTCCCCAATAGACTCCTCGCTTGTGAAGTACTGCTTTGTGAGAGACAACAGTATTTTACTGAATAAATATTCAGGATTGTATTGTTATATTCTTTTAAAAATTGATATTGCTAAAAAATAGACTTTTAAACTTAATAAATTATTAATGTTTTATAATAAATCATGTAAGTTAATATTACCAAATAATGAAAATTACTAAATACATAAAGACATAGTGATTTAATACCTTGTCTAACAATATAACACTGACCTAACATTTAAAAAAAAAGTAAAAATATATTGAATTTATATAATTAGTATTTTTAAAGGATACAATGAAAACAACACAACCAGCAAACACCATACCATACTCAAATTGAATTCATCTTTTAATGGGAATATTGATGTGTAAATCTGGAAAAAACAAGAATAAGTTCAGATTAACAATAAATCTAAACTTTAATATTGTCATTTATAATATGTAATAGTATTAATTACATATTATAATTAACTACATTTATTAATTATAACTTATATCGCATTTTATGATACCTACCTCTGACATAATATAAACAATGGCAGTGTATAGTGAAAAATCTACTATCCAAATATATTCTGTGTAGAATCTTAAATGAACAACATCTAAAGGAGTAACTGGAGCTGTTTCTAGTTGGATATCTAAGCTCCTAGGAACATGAAACGTTTCTGGTTTGCCATTTGATTCATATTTGCCGCCTTTCTTTCCTTTTGGTTTATCCTTCGGCACTCCCGCCAAAGTCTTTAATTCACTATTATCTGGATATAAATACCGATATAAGCCTTGAGAACATAATAACCATCTTGCAAATGAATAATTTCCTAGCTTCTGTATTACTGATACCATAATCAGTGTTATAACCAATTGAGCCCCGAGTAAAGCCTAAAATCAAATAAATATAGTTACTAATTAAAACATAATATTTTGCCTTTTTGGTTAATCCGGCATTTAATCATAAGACATAGTAATCAAGTACTATACCATTGCGATATGAATTTCATTGGCGACTTAATCTCATCTCAGTCTAAAATTAATAAATTATTTTTAATTTACTCCGGGATCTATAACCTCAATTTTCTAGGTACTCCCACACAAATGTCAATTGTCAAATGTCAACACTCAAAGCTGTAAGCACAGATTATGGAGATTACAACTCAAAGTCAACACTCAACAGTCAAATTCAATCTCATTTTATTCAGAATATGAGAAAGCTATACAAATTACAACATGTCCTATAAAAAGAAAGAGAGAAAAGGTCAATAAAATATCAAATTAAAGTTATTCTAAAGTTAGTTTTAAAACTTATGTAGCTGTTTTCGTAAAGAAAAATTATCATATACAACTATATTTAAGAGCATGCATTTTAGATATTTAATCTAAATAATTATACTTGAAATTGATAAATTTATATTTGTAAATTACATAATTATTATAATTTTCTCAAAGTTTTTCCCTTGACATATAATTTTGTTAAAATGTACTTCGTAAAATATACCATGGATGATAAATAAATGGTAAATAGTAAATACTGCCCATGGATGACAAATAAATACTGCCTGCGGTTCAATGCTTCCAGCAACAAAAAATAATATTTTATGAATTTTATACTTTTAATTTTATACTTACTTTGACATTTTTTAATAACATATTAGTTCGTATTTAATAGTAACATTTATAATTTATAGGGAGTATTATTATATGGAAAATACATTCATGTTCTTTTAAGTATAGTCTTTTTTTAAATTGTTATTATTTTTTTATATGTTATCCCTGATTAAATGTCGCGTTGCGCACCGATGACGACTCAGCTCGCTTGATTTTCATATTGATCGATTTCCATTTATTTCGGTTTCGTCGCCGCCGATGTCCGTTCGCAGGCGGATGCGACGAACCTAGATAGATAGGATTTATTTTTTCGTGTAAAGTTGGTGAAAAAAAATACCAAAAATGGGGTCGTTGTTTCGGAGTGAGGAAATGACTTTGTGTCAACTTTTTCTTCAGAGTGAAGCAGCCTATGCATGCGTGTCTGAACTTGGAGAATTGGGGCTCGTACAATTTCGAGACGTAAGTATAAAACGCCCCTTTTTATATCGAGTAAATTCAAAGTAGGCATTAATGTTCTATAACATTCATTTGGGTGAGCACAAGTTATAGCAATTATTTTCTTTGTCGGCAATATATTTTAACTGACCCAATTTATTTATCTCTTATCCCATAAAAATATTGCTCCAGTTTGATATGGTGTCTGTCCGACTATTGATTTCTTTATCTTTCTATCACCATCAAGTTAGAAATAGGTGCATTTTGTAGGGACCATCTTAACATTATATTTTTAGAAAGTGCATACATAGGTATTATGCTAAAATCCACGAGTTATCTACTATAGCAATTATAAACCTACAATTTGCATCACTTATTTCAAACACTAGAGTATAAGATTATGTAAATGAATTAATAAATTCCGATGAAATTAATAATACTTTAAAGGAAAACTTTTCACAACTTTATTGCAATTTAAATACTTTACATAATTGTTGTCTGTATTCAAATAATAAATATAATTATATTATTAATGTCATTTTAATCAATGTAAACATAGGAATAAAAGAAAATATTATAATGAAATTGTGTGCATACTAAAATCATGTAACATTCACACAAAAAGTACAGTAAAATTGAGTACATCATCTGTTTTGAGAGTGGTCAATAAATATAAAAATAACTTCATTAAATTATAAATTGTGACTGATTATGTAATTTTTTAAATTTTATTTTAGCAGTATGTATAAAATGGCAGAAGTAGGAGTGGTGGGTTTGCTATATAATATGTATAATTGAATGTATTCACATTACCTCACACAATGTACCAGTTCAACAGTATAACCTGTTAAAATTACACTGTTTAAGGCTTACTGCCAAACATTTTACACCAGCAGCCTTTGGGCTAGCTGTACTCGAAGAGCGGCACACGTCCTGCGAGTTCAATATAATAATGCCTTCAGGGTGCTGTTGAGGCTCCCTTATTATTGTAGTGCGTCAGGCATGTTTGCAGATGCACACACTGACGATTATTTCGCGATAATGCGTAAGAAGGTGGCGTCTGTGATACAAAGGGTGAGGGCAAGCACCAACAGCATCCTGAAGGTATTTGCGGAAAGACTGGACGGGCCCACCATGGGGAGGTTTATCAAGTTACATGTACAAAATGTGACTGGATTAATCTCCCTATGGTAGCTATTTATTTATTTTATCTGTATTTTGTTTTACTAACAATGTTCTTAAGTAATTATTGTACTAACCAACTATGAGCCTATGTTGCTCGCTAATAAAAGATTTTTATTTTTTTTTATTTTTATATAAAGCCTTTAAGGCAATGCACATAAATTACATCTTGTTTCACTTTTTTGTTCTGTTAGCTAATTAAAATTAAAAATAAGTTTAGCTAATTATTATATGTTTAACTTTTATATTATATTTATATGGAATTATACTTATGTCCTAAACATAATTGTATGTATGTAGGTATTTTGTTACATGTTACATGCAATTACATTAATAATCCTTTCAATAAAAATTGATTGAAAAAGATTACTGATGGCAATAAGACCATTATTGCACTCTCGCTTTTATTACTTTACAGTCTTGGTTTGTAGCAATTTAAAGTTAGATGTTATATTTTATACCTATGGAAATAAATCATGTTGATGTTGTCCTTATAAAGGACTTATAAGGGAGGTCCTAATAAGTCCAAAATATTGTTTGTCAAATTTAGTAAAGCCTTGTAGGTGCTATTCACATAAGGTTACTTATTAATTTCCATATATGTATTGTTTATTTTTTATGTTAACAATTTCCTTAAATTATTTTCTGACCTTTAACCTTTGTGACCTTAAAAAATTTCTTTTATAATCTAAACTTAACCAACATGACCCACATTAACTTTTTCTAAAAATAGGCTAATAAATGTAATAAAACTTCTTAGCCATTTTATATTAAAATATATTGTTATCTTATTTGATACCGAATTAGGTAAAATGCCTGAAATTTATTATTCCAATACTACCAACATACAATTTATAAAAAAAAAAATAATCACAATTAAATCACATGATTTGATTAATACAATTATGAAACTCGTAATTCTTATCATTATCAATATTGAAACTTCTTTTTGGTAATTTAAACACTATATCTTTGCTCTTATCTATGATGTTCAATAATATAATATATAGCTTTATATCAGTCATTAAATATTTCAACTGAAACACTAAGTAAAATACAAATATTTTTTATATTATACACTAGTGTCTTAGACTTGCTTCACTCGGGTTCGTCCCTAGGTACCTACGTTTTAACGGTTAGTATGGAATAGATAGACTATTTATTATAATACTGCTCTGCTCTCATAACATCCATTTATAACATTAGTATAGATGATATAGAAGATACTAGCGGCTCATCCTAGCTTTGCTCGGGTTTGCCTCTGGAGAATCAAGATCAAATCTATCCCACGGGAACCATACATTTTCCGAGATAAAAAGTACCCTATGTGCCATTCCAAGCTATAAACTATGTCTGTGCCAAATTTCATCTAAATCCGTTCAGCCGTTCCGGCGTGATTGAGTATTAAACATCTAAACCTTCACATTTATAATTTAGTAGGTATAGATTATAAGAGTAGTACCTACTCCTTATATAAAAATTTTTCTATACAAAAAAGTCACGAAAAGTTTGATACCTATTTATCGATCGATTAATTTCATTGTATCATCATCATGGCGTATCGTGTGATGAATGAAAAACAAAAATTAACTATTTTATTAGAATGAGACAAAAATGCCTAAATTTGTGGAATAAATAAACTCTAGCAAAGCTTACCGGAAAAACAAGAATTTGAAATCTGCGAGGAATTAATATGTGCATGGAAAACCACAGTGTTGTGACACATAACCACAATCGCTGCGGCACTTTCTCGTGAAGTTTCTCGATGTGTCAAAATTTTAAAATAATCGGCAAAGAACTATCGCTATATTGCTATTGTTTTTTTATGTAGGAAGCGTGCTTATCAGCTAACTTAGAGACTAACAAGGTTTAGTTGCTTACCAAAAAGAAATCAAAATGTAAAAAAAACGGGAAAAAAAAGTTGAAATATAAAGAAGATATCTAATTCAAATATTTTGAAGAGTCAAGATCTTACTTAGATTGAATGTTTTAAGAAAGTTTTTGTTCTTGATATAGTAGACCCTTTTCTTTTACAATATGCTTTTATTCTACAATTCAATGAAAAAAATTCAATGAATAAAAAAAATTATATCTTATTTATTAAACACTAGCAACTAACCCTCGCTTCGCTCGGATTCGTCCCTAGTGAAAAACAAAATCAAATCTATCCCATGGGTAAATTACATTTTTCCGGGATAAAAAGTAATACCTTTCATAAAGATCCGTTCTGGTGTGATTGTAACAAACATCCATCCAAACTTTCGCATTTATAATATTAGTATAGATGGGATTAATGGGATGTAAAATCTATATAAGATTAGGCCTAAACTGGAATTCTTATATATATACGTAATAATCAAAGGCCAAGGACAGTTATAGGATTTTAATCGATAAGACTGCATTACGCATTACGTATTTTATACATTGATAACTAAACAGTTGGAATAAAACGGAACCTGATATCGAAAAACTATAATATACTATATCTGCAGCTCTGCTTAAAATCTATTTCTGTGATTTTATATAAACACTACTAGAAACACTGCACTCGAGTTACTCACAAGTATTTGTAAAGATAATTGACTATTCATTCTTTTTAATATATCATCTTAAGTACCAGTGAAACCACTCAATATAATCTCTTGAAATAAATAAATATGTTGAGACGTTAACAGACAGCACCATCTAGTTTCATGGTAAGCTACGAGGCTTGTGTTATGGATAACAGATAGTTGATACACTACACATATATAAATTTAAATACATACATATTATAAATATAGACACCCATGACTGGAATATAAACATTCGTGCTCATCACACAAATGAATTCCCCCAGCGAGATTCGAACCCGTAACCGTTGGCATAGCCAGTAGGGTCACTACAAACTGAGCCAAACGTGTCGTAAAAATGTGAAATTAATCATACGTTTATTTTTAGTAATTAAACAATTTCTTCTACAGTTAAACCCCGATGTGAATGCTTTCCAACGCAAGTTCGTCAATGAAGTGCGCCGCTGCGATGAAATGGAACGTAAACTTCGGTATCTCGAGAAAGAGATCCGCCGTGATGGCATCCCGATGCTGGAGATACCAGGAGAAGTTCCAGAGGCGCCGCAACCCAGAGAGATGATTGATTTGGAGGTGACGTAATACATTGTTTAACTTGCGTATAACATTTTGAGGATTGGTTTTATTTTACCGACCAATCTCCTTTTTGTCTTCACCAATCTACGTGACATTGGCGAAGCTCAACTTTAAAAAACAAATTCTACGATGTTAGATGAAGTAACGTAGTCATTGTTGTTTCAAGAAAATAGGTTGTATGTAAATGCGATAATGTTATTCAACAGGCAACTTTCGAAAAACTTGAAAATGAGCTACGTGAAGTGAATCAAAACGCGGAGGCGTTAAAGAGAAATTACTTGGAGCTAACTGAGCTCAAGCACATCTTAAGGAAGACGCAAGTATTTTTTGATGAGGTAAGTGTTATATCGAGCTTCATCGGTCTAGGGTTCATTTTAATTTAGAGTCACATGATTCGATTTAATATATCGATAAGCTAATGTTACACCTTTGCCGTGATAATCTATATGATATTTGATGTTTACGTAAGCCACCTCGTAGTTCAGAATTATAAATTAATCGCGAGATAAGATAATTCATGCCGCTAATTTTCTCTACAGACAAGACTTAAAATTCATTATGGTCACACATTATTATGCTTATAGCGTTACGTCAAAATCTAATCCGGTCTTATTAACGACCTTTTTTTTTTTGTTTGCAAAGTATATAGGGCGACTTCATACAGCCATCACTCTCAATGTACTTTAGGATAATAAAATCTATACAGTTGATATTATGATGCTGTTGTAGAAAAAAACTAGCCCCAAGTCGAACGATTCCAGATTATATTAAGTCTATGATATTTTTTAAATCATTTATGTTAATTTATTTTTGTATCTTTTTTTTTATTTACTGTCAATGTTTCATCAAAAAATAGAGGACCTTGAACAGCCTCATCAACTACTACTATTGTACTAAAACACTCAGCACTGCCTCTGTTCAAAGTTAACACTGTCTATCTTTTTAAAATGAGGTCGTGGGTCTTCTTAATATCGCTTCAAAACTTGAATGCGAAACAAAAAATATAAATTCTATACACTGCTAGTCGACTTTAAAACTTAGTCAAAAAAGTACAAAGCCATTGTCACATTGCTTTTGAGCTCCAATTACGTGTCACTGTTGTTTGATTGAAAGTGTTGTACAGGGACATTAGTTATAAAAAAATAAACAAGTTAATATTGGTCAAGCAACCCACGGATGTGACATTGACATTGTACGTTATTGACCTTGGCGCCATTTCGGCGCTTATGTGCACAAGATGGCGGATCCGTCGCGGGAAGAGGAACAAGTCACTCTACTTGGGGAAGAGGGACTCATGGCGGGAGGGCAAGCGCTCAAATTGGGGTATGATTACATATACATCGCTTGTTAAATACTATAGTGACACAATTCCAAAATTAGTTACCGATTTGAAGATTTATATGTACTTTGACAGAATGTAGGTACATATATGTCATAATACATATTGTCTTAAAAATACATAAAAATGCAATATTACGAAAAAAGTTTTATTTAGCACAAATAGAAAAGCTGAATAGCAAAAAGTTATGATAAAATTAGATTTATTAATTAATATAAGGACTCTTTTTCAAAGATATCCACATTAGACTTGTGCCACTGTTGTATTCTTGAGCGAAATGTTCTTCGACGTGCCCTGACTCTTGTATACGCGATGTGGGAGGTCAGAGCAAGTCATAGATCGATATTATTTTTACAGCGCTTGTACTGTGACGCTGATTCGGGAGTCTACCGCTCACCACTCAGGCAAGCATTGGAGACAGCCGGTTTATAGTATATCAAAATAACACCTCTTTACTTCTTGTGTGATGGAATGATAGCTTAGTAGCACCGACGTCTTAATTATCAAATCTAATACGACGCTTATAGGTTAGAAAAATCCCCAATAGTGCTAATCGACTGCTGCCTGAGTGAGTTTTCACTAACAAATTTTCGGAAACGATTTATTTTTGAAGTCCATCCGCGGGAACAAACTTGGTCTTATTTATAATCATTGTTCTGTCCACCGTCATGCTTTCTGTATCGTCATATTTGCATGCCATTATGAGTTGTTCATGTATGTAGAGATTCACATATTTTTTTTTACAAATAGTAATAGGAGAACACAATTTTTTTTTGACACGACGAAGTATTTAAACACTGAAACTAACAACGCAAATGCTTTTGAACTTATTGTAGACATTTGAATTTTGAAGACGCGTTGGCGCTATTTTTTTTCCTACAACAGACAATCGATTCTGAAATGGAGTTTGAATTATATGTGGGTTTTGCTTTCGGCTTGTGACATTTTATGGGCGATGTGTCTGTCTACATTATTGTTTGTTCGCTAGCACGAGGGTGGTGCCAATACCACTGAGTCAATGACACGCGCGCTGATATCCGACGATCCGAACAGACATATGGGGCAGGTCCAACTAGGGTATGTATATGTGTACATACGGCACTAGTTGATTACACGGTTCAACCGACTGACGACAATAAACTAGTATGGGAAAGAAAATTTTATATCTACAATTTTGTTAGGATTGAACTATCCGATTGATATGAAATTTTCTTTATTTTAAAGAAATTTTCAAAGTATTTTCTACAAGTGACGATTTTCAGAATAGCAACAAAGATAGCTAAAGATGAGCCCAAATTAGCACAATGTGTGGTGTATGAACTTCATCAAAATCGATTAAGTAGATGTAATTTTGCATAGTGCTTTATCAGTTGAAAACTTTAACATATTAACTCTATATAAAACTAACGTTTTTTTTTATCGCGCCGCCGACGTATATAATATAATCACCCATCCAGGCGTTTACATAAACCTGACAGTTTTATTATTTGATGATAGACTACATCTCCAATGTAAATATTGATTATATTTAAATTATATTACGATACTCTTGTACACGTTGGTATATTACAAAATGATATGAATTTAATACGTTCAGCGCCACACGTAAAGGCATTTTTTACTATAGAAAGTTAAACAGGTATAATTGATAAGTTTGAATAGTGCAAAACAAACAATTTTTATATAAGTGCATGCAAAAACTGTCTGTAAACAGAACTTTAACACATGAAACAATCGAAGAAAAGCAAATTAGACTAATATACTTTGATATATTTAATTAAATCAAATATATTGTGTGTATTATATGAAAATGCTAAAATGTTTTGCTTGATTTACTCCCTAGTTTTCGGGATAAACAAGAATCCTTGGAATTCCTGCCTTGGTTAGTAGCATATTGTACATTATATGTAGTTTGGTGGTATTGTGTATATTGGTATGTGTTGGTGGCTTATAACGCTTTGTGATTAATTGTGATTGTGATTTATTAATAATCGTGATTCGTAGATCATTGATCATAGATCAGTAGCACTATACCCTACTTAAGCAATTCAAATTTTAATAAATAATGTCACAATTAGGATCAATGATCTACGATCTATTGTGAGCTCAGTTAACTTTCGAAATTGAAGGGCGAGATCTATTCTTCTACGAACTACAATTCAAACTCTCCATTATACTGACGTTTAAATACTGAGAATTAGATTTCTCAAATTTATTTTTGTGATTGAAAACGTATCGTTTTCAATTTCGACAGTTAGTTAGTCGTACCTAAAACATATGTAAAAAGACATGCTTATTAACACCTCACCTATACAACAATTTCACTATGCGTATCTTCATATAAAAGGTAACTTGGACTTCAAGAATAGATATCGGATTAGGTGCGAATATTGTAAATGCTGAAAGTACAGTTTCGTAATCACAAGTTTTCTACTGTTAAAGAAAATCTAAATATTTTTTTAATTTTGACTGACATTTGATAATGTTATCTGCTACAAAAATCATTTCCAAGATTTAATTAAACATTAAAACTCAAAAACTGGTCGTAGAATGGTCAATTTTAATCTTTGACCCTTCTCATAATGACTAGATCACCTTGTACACTTTAACTGTAACTTTATATTCTATTGATATTATCTTTACTTATAGAAAATGTGATTACGAAATTATTATTTTTTAATACCATACGAATCAAAAATCTAACAGCGTCTTGGTACGAGTGTCTTAGATATTAATGTTTGTTTACATGTTTATATTTATTTATCTTGTTTTCAGTTTACTTATGCTATTCATTCAGAGCGATTATTTTTACAATAGTGTTGTAAGTTGTAACTTATCGTCTTATCGATTGAGCGAATCGAATTGACTATTTCAATGACAAATGTAGTTCAATGTTACCCTATAATAATAATCGAGTTTCATATAAAATTTATATATCGACTATTACTTACGTATGCGTTCTTATTCACTTATGTGGATTCAGCTGGAACTGGAATTGTGGTGTTTAAAGAAAATTAGCATCACAATTGAGCTAGATAGCTGCCAGTTTCTTATACAGATATCGAGTGACCGTGTAACAAAGAACTATCACATTTATCTATGCCTCGTTTGTTACGCTTGAGAGCGTAGAATTTGAAAATGCCTTGACTTGAAATAGCTTTTGTTAATTGTAATTTTCCATTCATAAGTTTATTGTCTTACAATTGATAAGATACAAAGATACACGGTAAAGAAATTTGAAAGATTACAAGAGATTTTTTTCGTATGAAATCATCAGCTAGTGGCTGTCATTCAACACGGTCTTAGGGGGGGAGGTTCTTTATGTACAAATCTGAAAAGTCATCCAAACAATAACAATGGCTCGTGTTTCAACCTTTTATCTTGAGGCATAAACGGAGATAAACCATTTTAGTCTCGATAACTTTATACGATTATAACACTCACTTGTCATATTATTATAGACAGACTGTTATATATGGAAACAGGGAAATGCTAGAATACTTTACTTTCTTTTATATTTGTTTGACATTGAAAGAAGCGTTTTGCTTAGTAGTTGTTAATTTAAAGATTTTTAGCATGTTTTTTTTTAATTTGAAAAGTTAGTAATGTTGATGTTATAATAAATGTAGGAATTACTTCAAATATTTTTATTTCTAGAAAGCGACAGTATGCTATCGAACAATATGACTGAATGTAATAATACAATGTTTAGGTTCTCACGAAGGTTATTTGGAAATACGGCTCCTTACAGCGGACGTTTACCTTTCAATCGTTTTACAAATTCGCGAGTATGTGATAAACATCATAAATGCTGCAAATAATAGTAATAGCTTATGAAAAGAGATAGTTTTGTAAAAATATAAAGATTTTTGTGTACACAAAATAGAATTAGATTTAATTATATTTTTGATAGCCCAATAAAATATTAAAAAATATATAAATGTTAGCCTTGTAATTGTCCTATATATAGTAAAACTAGCAGAACCCGCAGCTTCGCTCGCGCTAAATCTACAAAAAAAAACTAAAGAAGTAGGTTACATACAAACTTTTATCCCCTATTTTACCCCCTAAACGTATTGAAGAACATTAATACCAAGTTTCAAGTAATTCTGTTCATAAATAATTTTTCGGGTTGTATTATAACGTGTTTTCCCGTGGGAATGAGATAATTTCCCGCGATAAAAAGTAGCCTATGTCACTCTCCAGCTCTCCAACTATCTCGACACAAGAAATCACGCCAATTCGTCCCTCCGTTTCAACGTGAAAAAAAAGGACAAACAAACAAACACACTTTCACATTTATAATATTAGTATGGATATATTATGATGAAAATGCAGCTAGGATTGAAAGTACAATTGTTTGTACTCAATGATATATGTCGGAAGTAAGCCCGTAGATAAGCAATTTATGTATATATTCCTATATAATATACATCATGATTATATGTTTTTCTGTTCATAGGGCTGTCTGTCTGTAAATATGATATAATATTCTACTAATTATGCACTAATATAGGAAAATAATAGTTAATTTATATAATGAGTTGGTCATTTTAAACACGAGCTATAATTAAATATACGAAGTACAATTATCTTGTATAGGTGAGATTTTATCGTCATTTTGTGTATGCGGCAACCTAATTTACCTTAACGTTAACGTCACAACGTATTGCGCAACCCCTTATCAGATGTCATCAAAGTATCTGAATATTTGAAGAATGATGTATTTTCTCATGGCTCTTCAAACTTGGCTCAAAAATGTATCGTGTTTTGGTTTCGAATTATATTTACCTATGTGTATGAGAAAAGTTTTTAATCTCAATACGCAGCTTGAGATTGAGTATGAATAATATCAATCAGTCTTCTTCTTCCTGCCCATTTCCCAAATTACTTGGGGTCGGCGCAGTACGTCTCCTTCTTCCATTTTCCCCTATTACTCGTCATCTCATCACTTCACCCCCTTCTCTTCCATGTCCTGTCTCACACAATCTATCCATTTTTTCTTCGGTCTTTTTCTACCTTTCCATCCATCTTCATTTATTTTCATCACTCTTCTCACCACATGCTTTTCATCCCTTCTCTTCACATATCCATACCAACTTGTACGATCAATTCGACGCGATTCAATTAGACGATTAGTATCAATAAGTATATGACACAAATTTTTTTTCTTGTTACTCGTACAAAACTTGTTATGATTCTGTTTAATACATTTTCTACTTTTACTGTTATTGCGATAACGGTATCAGCAAAACTGGATATAATTGTCGTAAGTTCTGCTTGCACCAGTTTTTTTATGGAGAAGATATTGTTTTTCATTATAATTTTTTTTTCTCAATTAAACTAGGCAATTCTTTGTGTCCTAGGACTTAAAATTCTGCATTTTCCACATTTTCTCATAAGGGGAGTCGATTTTAAACGCGTTGCGTAGAAACACTAAAGTCTAGACGATTGTGGTCGCAAAAACCACCATTTGTAGTAAATATAACTAACTACTAATTACTTTGATAAAACTAGACCGAAACTATAAAATTGTCATTGAAATATATTTTATTAAGTTGGCGAAGGCAACAGGTTCTGAAAATCATCTTACAATACTCTGAAAGAATAGCATTCGTATCTACGTCGAACAACACCCTTTTTGGTGTGTTATATTTACCTTGGAGACATCGATTATAAAAGAAAACTATGTTATACAATGAGCAAGTTCGATATCACTTGAACCGGTTACGTACCTATCTAAACGTTAAGACCATTCTGCGGGCATTATCATCTCTATAGTGTATACTTATTATCTACCAATGACCTATATCAAACTAAAATTAAAATATCGTTCCAAGTATTTATGTGGCGCCCCGAACTTAATTTGCATTCTAATGGCAACCTTGGACCAGCATATGCCATACATTCCAAAATGAGAAAGACTCCAAAATTTAAATAAAGCATTACGTATACACACAGACTTGGTGATGTGCCAAGGTGAAGCGTCCCTTACATCATAACAACGTAATCCTACCATACTAATATGCACTCAAAATCGTTTGCGTCAAATTTCAAATTTTAGCAACGCACAAATATATTTGACGTCGATGAAATATTATTCTTAAATTGAAGCATGTAAGACTTTCTGGGCGTGGTGTGTCTGGTTGAGGAAATCAGAAATAAACCAGACGATTGTAATATATTTTAAACTTTGCGGTGCTTCCCCGATTAACTTTAAAAACGTTTTCAATTTTTGTTAATTCATTTACGGCTAAGCTTAACAGAAAATGAACACGACCTTTTTCAATTATAATATAATATTTTAGATAGGTATGATCAATTTTAAAATCTACTATATGTAGTGGGAAAACCCAGAGTGCATCCTGCATTCTGAATTTTACCATAACGTTCATCTTTATGTTTTTTTTTTCCATTCCAAATTCAAATAATTTTACAGCATAACATTGTTACACCCCTTTCATAAACGTTGGAAAAGAGAATGAGAACTGACCTGACGAGACTAAAAATATTTTTTTGTCTCTCTCTATCTTTCATAGTTGATGTAGAGATTTTCTCAGATACTTTCAAATAGAGTGACTGTGAAAGTAATTTTGAAGCCCACTTACCGGGAAAAATCATACCGTGATCATTGATCCATGATTACATGGATGTAAGGAGGTTAGGTCTCAGTGCTTTTTCTAATACGTAAATGGAATTATTTTCAAATAAGTTTTTATTATTATTTAATACCTAATTATTAAATCGAATAAGTCTCCATAATGCTCTCACGCTGCATTTGTAATAACAGTTTAATGTACAATTCGTGTGACGCAGACAATGAGCACCTACTTCGTAAATACGACAGTTACTCGTTCACGTGATAATGTTATTGTAAATCAAGCTATTCCCACTGTAATTATTATGCTAATAAAACTTATAATGCCTTAGCAACCAAATAAAAAGGATATGTTGATGGTTTGGGTGTTTCTCGGACGGAACCAATCATAATTATTAATGACGAAACATTCTGACTTATGTTTAGATGTAAAGGACAATTTGATATTCGTTTTTTAGGGTTCCGTACCCGAAGGGTGCCAACGGAACTCTATTACTATGCCTCCGCAGTCCATCTGTCTGTCAGAGGGCTGTATCTCATGAACTTGTAATAGGTAGAGTTGATTCTTCACAGAGTATGTATTTCTATTGCCGTTATAACAAGATGTATTAAAAATAAAAATACAAGAAACATTTTTTTAACGTTCGTAATCGATCATCGAAGTTATACATAATATACTACAAGTACATACATAGAATAAAGTCATATTAATAAAAAGTAGATGTACGATGGTACCGAATACGACTCGCACTTGGCGGATTTTGTTTCAATGAATAAAATATAAATTGATGGTTTCAATAAATGTAAAGGATGATCCGAAAAAAATTTCAATAATAAATTCTACCCCCTATAGATATAATGTTAGTGAAGATTACAATACATTTTCCGTTTATATATTAGGTACTAGCTGACCCGACAGACGTTGTCCTGTCTACACCTCTTTAATTTGAAAATTTCAAACTTTTTTTAATAAGCTAAAACATTCTGGACCATTTTGATGAAAATTATTATTCAAATTGTGAATCTAAACCATTCTCAGATCCCCTTGAACACACACAAAAAAATTCATCAAAATCGGTCCAGTCGTTTGAGAGAAGTTCAGTGACATACACACTCACAGAAGAATTATATAATATATAAAGATGTGAAAATGTAAAAGGTTATGTCGATATGAGACGAGCAGAATACAATAAATCAATAATAGTAATATTGAATAAACACACGATACCTTTTGTTTGCAAAAGTGCAACTAGTGGAATCTTTTAGTCAATGCAATTGAATTATCAGATGGAGAATAAACGATTGGTACTTGAATATTTCTAAGTATTTTTTACATAACTCTTTTATTATATAAGCAAAATTAAATCAAAACTGCTGTAATAAACTGGTGTATTATTAGCCTTTGAGAGAATAAAAGCCATATAAAAGAACAATACGAGACCTTGTGTGATGTGCAGACGCTAATCACGTTGCGAATCCAGACACAATGGACTTGTCAAATGTTCAAAATGCACATTATTTAAATACAAAACATAGACGTCCATAAAATGTGTTGTTTTTGTAATCTCTTTGTTAGTTTTGTTTGATTTTCAATATATAATAGAAATATGAAACAAGAAAAGTGTGCCATGATAATTATGTCGGACTAGCGGCTCACCCTCGCTTCGCTCTGGTTCGACTATAGAAAAATAAAAACAAATCTCCATCCCATGGGAATCTTACGTTTTTCCGGGATAGTGGACCTATATATCATTCTGATGTATAAGCTATAGTCCTTAATTATATGTATGACGTACATATGTATATTACATCCTTAAATATCCCTAGAAAGTTATCCGTAGTTATCCGTATTAACAATGAAACTCAATTAGCGGAAACTGAGTCCGAACAATCAATCCATATTATCTAGCTAGCTCTAAATGATATTTACTCACCGATTTCTAGAATTGCAATCATCTGTCGGATAATATAACTGTAATTGATTTATCAAACCTGTTGCTAGTTTATCCTTGGTCTGTATTCGATGTCAGGTGTTTAATTTTTACGTAAACAATTCTTTACGACGAGACGGTACGTTTCTGTTTCTCTTTGCACAATAAATCGATCCATTTTAATTATTAGAACCATTGCTGCATACAACTGAAATATTACAAAACGAATATGTGGAATAGAACTTGTTACTGAACATCTATACATATAATAAAGTTTTAACTAAGCCGAATCTGTACATTAAATATTTTATGAAAATTTTTATTGAAATTAACATTATTATCGATACAGAGACCGAATCTATTGTTTTTAGAATTTTTGTCTGTCTGTCTATCTGTCTGTTACCGCATCACAGTAAAACCACTGGAGGGATTTTGATGAAATTTGGTATAGTGATACCTGGTTATCCGGGTCAACATATAGGATACTTTTTATAGCGGGAAAATATCCCATTTCTGAGAAAATATACAAAAGACCTAAGAATTTGTTTTTTGGTCATCTGAACGCTCGCGGAGCCGCGGGCAATGCTAGTTTATTATAATTAGTAATTTCCGTGGGAATTGATATTATTTTATGTAAAATGATAATTTATTAGTTATATTATGTGACATTTTTAATAGTAAACGCTTATATTTAATGAAAACATAGAACAACTTACGATTTTACTATGGCTCATATGTTTTTTCCCACGTTTATTTAAACAATTTGGAAGATTACCGACAACGAATGGCTGTTAAAATAAGTGTTCTTCATAAGAACATTGCGAAAAATGTTTTAGTATTTTGTGTAATTACCAGTCTATACATACATTAAAGTACAATATAATAATACATCCCATCCATATAACACACATTCCTATTTTAAATTACAAACTTGTGAAAAATACACACGTTTAGTTGATCACGAAAACATGATTAGTCAATGACATGACAGTTACAGTGTTTTAAAATAACTCTTAGACTAGTACCAGTTTAAACTAATTGGTTAAATTGAAAACATTTGCAAGAATCCGGCACGAAGGACCAAAGTTATTACTTTAACATTGTAAATACAAATTTATATTAAATATAGGTAATGTGCTTAGATATTTCTTAATGGATTACAGGGAAATATATTCGATAACAGACATAATTATAAATCAACTAGGCACTTAGCAAATTACTCAAATAGTATAGGATTTATAAATAACTAGCAATATCCGTGGCTTTCCGTTCAAACTGCCGATCGCTACCAAACTTCACAGGATCATCCGTTGGGTTAATTTGAAAATTGCCCAAAAATTACAACAAAATTCACTCTAGCCGTTTTGGTGTCCATAGGGAACATACAAATCGATTTTTATTTATTATAAGTGCGTGTTAATGAAATAATAGAAACTTACGATTCCCCCAATACAAATAATAAATATAAACCTTAAAGTAACAGATTCAAACAATTTACTTTTTTGTTCATATATTATAAGATTTCATTACGTAACAGAACTTTATAAAGTCATCTTGTCAACACAGGTAATGTCATCGTTATCTATGATAGGGATACTCATTATAAATGTTATTGTCCTTATCTATACAGATTTGCTATGGAAAAACTTCGATTAGTTCTACTTATTTTACTTCATTCCGTTAAGATAAGATATTTAAGTACTCTAGCTCAACTTCCGTCTTTACGAACGTAGGCCTATGAAACTATTGATAGAAATAAAAATTTGAATATTTACACAATAAATCAAGTTTATTTATCATTGCAATGATTGAACTATAAATTAAAAACAAAAGATGCAATGCATGTATGTATTCAGTCCTTTTTAACGTCCCACCGCTGGACACGGACCTCCCTTCAACACTGGGGGGATCGGCCATAGTCCACCACGCTGGCCAAGTGCGGGTTGGCGGATTATTATGCATAACAAATATTTTTTTGTTGGACCTATCATTACGAAAATGTTTGGTTTGAAAATAAAATCACATACAAATAATATGTTACCTCAGTTAAATACTTTTTATAGACATTGTTGTATAGGAGTTATAACAGGATAATCCACAATATTTTTTATTGACACTGATGTAAACGTGGAACTTTCCTGAATGCCACTGATGTGCCTCGTTTTGTGTGGGCGATTTCATTGTCTTAAATGAAATAATAGCCTAATTAGGGTTCTACGTCAAGCGTATATCAAACTTGTTTCTATTGGCAAAAATTTAAAATTGGTCTATATATATATATACATAATGAACCTGAAAAAAATTACCATATCGATGTCTCTTTAGGAGTGTGTAGCTTGTAAATAACAGCTTATTATAAACATGACGTACATTTTGTCCATCTTTTACAGGTTTTTCTTAGAAAGTAGGTACAATAAATTATTTTATAAAATATTTTACAAGCTGCACTTTTGTAAATATTCTCCTGTACATTAAGTTTATTTTTATCAAAAGAAATCATTCTTAACTCATATGAAAAATTTGAACATTTGAATACACTTTGAATTTAATGACATTGACGAAGATTTACTTAATCATCTTCGTTTTTTTTTTTTTCATTTCAAGATTTGGTGATTTATGATACATCAATCACTTGAACATTTTCGTGTTGTCAGTATAAAAAAAAATTATATATATATATATATATATATATATATATATATATATATATATATATATATATATATTGTAGATTGGATGCTTCTGTAAAAAGCAAACGCGATCTTTCTGTCATTTCGTGTTTTCTAATGATCTTTTCCGCACAGTTTCGTTGCGGGTGTAATTCTCCGTGAGCGTATCCCGGCCTTTGAGAGGATGCTATGGCGCGCCTGTAGAGGAAATGTGTTCCTCAGACAGGCTGAAATCGACACCCCGCTAGAAGATCCTTCATCCGTAAGTTAACTATATTATAAATGTTTTAATATAAAAATTGAGTTAAAATTATATTTGTTTTTATTCATTTGCCTCGTGTTAGTTGGGCTTCTATTTTAATACGCTGAGTTATATGTTGAATAAAAGAAATATTCGATTTTTTTGATGACTAATTCTAGTGGATAATTGAATAGATTTGAAATTTTCTTTTAACAAGGTTTTAAGATGACATTGGATTTTTTGATTAGTTAATGCGCTGTTCTTCTTTACTAAAGGAGTTGCTTTTAATTTATCTGTTTTTTACTAAGGTTTTAATTTAACTCAAGGTTTAAAGTGAGTTACTGAAATATTATTACTTTTAATTGAAAAATTCAACTACCTACTACTACTACCTACGACTACCTCAGACTTAGGAACTTATAGACGGAGTCCGCTAAAATAAATATGAAAGTGAAAAATAGTAGCGTGATTTGCAGTTTATGTTACTATTCTCAATTTTTCCATACAGATCGTTTTCTTTCTTTTGATAATAATATATGTATTGCTTAAATTTATGTACAATTTTTGAGAATAAAATATAAATAATAAAAATAATACTATATTCTTTTATATTTTTAAACATTAGTTTTCTTTCCATTGAAAAAGATATAGCATAATATTAAATAAATAAATAAATAAAATATAAATATGTTGGGACTTTAACATACAGCACCATCTAGTTCCATGGTAAGCTACGAGGCCTGTGTTATGGATACCAGATAGTTGATACACTACACATATATAACTTTAAATACATACATATTATAAATATAAACACCTATGACTGGAGTACAAACATTCGTGCTCATCACACAAATGAATGCCCCGAACCCGCGACAGCTGGCGCAGCAAGTAGGGTCACTACAAACTGAGCCAAACGTGTCGTCCTTATAAGTATTAGCTTATTTAATTTTTTTCTTCATTATAATAAAATCCGTTAGATATTTTTAAATATTAACATTTATTAACTTATCACACTATTATGTTAAAATTTATTATTTAATATTTTTCCATCTTATTGTTTGGCGGCTTCATGTTTAGTTCTATGACACTCTGTCTATATTATTTCTTAGCTCGAGGACTCCACAAATATCTGTAACTATTGCATTACAGTAATAATTCAGTAAAAGAATTATGTATTGTGCACAGAACGCTTTAACTACTTAATCAGTTTTCAAGGGCGCTGAATAAATCCTATAGGTACGTAGTTTTGTACGGATTATATAAATTAATGATTATAATTTGTGTCATGGATATCTTAGGATAATTGATTTATATTGAAAATACACAAAAATTATAACATATTTCCATAGAGGAAATGTGAAACTAATGGCCATTCGCACTTTTCTCTTTGTAATAGTCTACGCTATAAATATTTATGTAATACTAAGAGTTGTTCAAATCATCAGTTAAAGGTTACATGTAGGTTGTTTTTTTAATAAAGAAACTTCCGGTTTCAGAGTCACTAAAAGTTATTCCTCCCACGGTTTTTTTTTAAATTTTATATGAGACCTTGAAGCATTTTAATTACCTATTCATTGAAAAAAAAAGTTTAAAATAAGATATCGCGTCACATACACAAAATATTAATCCAAATTGAGTACCTACTTTATTTTAAATTCGGTCAAAAATAAAACTTGAACGAATCCAAAATTACAATGGTGTTAATTAAATAGTTTAATTGTTTCCACTCTTACATTCTGCCAGGTTATAACATATCTTTTTAAATATAATAAACAGCCCTAGATAGAGTCAAATCAATAAGCAAGTATAGACACAAATAAAACATAAATAATTCGTTATTCTTAAGTAATTTGCATTTATCATGTTTCAGTCGGACCAAGTCTACAAGTCGGTGTTCATCATCTTCTTCCAAGGTGACCAGCTGAAGACTCGTGTGAAGAAGATATGCGAGGGTTTCCGCGCTACACTCTATCCGTGCCCCGAAGCACCAGCAGACAGACGGGAGATGGCTATGGGTGTGATGACCAGGATAGAAGATTTAAATACGGTAAGAATTATACTTTAATTTTCATAGGTTTGAATTGGAAGAGTATTGTATTTTAAATTAATTTCGATTACATTTACACCGGTCAATGTCACTGAAACTATTTTGGCCCGACTCGGGACTCGAATCCAGGACGATCACGATCTCCAATACATGCTAGACACTATCAACGAGGCAGTCTTTTTTAAAGGGAGTGCTTTTTTAAAGCTTTTTAATGTACTTAACCTAGTTAAAACTAAAACGATACGAAAATTTTAATATTTCATGGACTTATATGTATTTGAATGACTATTACAATAAAGCAGTTCCATATAGATTTTGATGTCAACATTAATTGATACCAATTGTTACATATTTTATTATCTATGAATTTATAGTGAATGCCGCCCTGCTCTGGTCTCTTTCTCTCTCTGGCTCGCCATGATACTGGATACACATCATAAGTCTTGTAAAATATTTATGTTAATAAAATACAACATGAAAACAGCAAATAAACAGTGATCTCATTTCACATGAACATAAGACAATAAAAGGTAGAATGATGAATTTTTAAATAGGCGTGGATGATGTAATAAAAATCTTTAGGCAATAGCGAAAAATGCTCATATTAGTATTCGAAAAATACTTTCGAGTGATAATAGTTGAAGCAGTGATTCTTTCAGATAAAGATCGCAGTTGATTTATTGCACTAATGACTAAACGATAGTGCTCTTTATATAGACTTTTTTCTGGAAAGTAATGACATATCGTTTTAGACATGACGTGTTAAAGATTAAGAACTTGAGAACTTTGAAGAAAACAAAATGAGCTGGCATTATGATTCAGATGGTAGAAACACGTTTATTTATATATTATATTAACTGACCCAGCAAACGTTGTTCTGCCATATAAATTATTATCAAAGAAATCTAACTTAAGATACATAAATATTAAAATTGCCATAAAAATGGGGGGTGGGGGAAGGGGGATGAAAAATACTTTACGATACCTATATTGCGATATATAATATGATACGATACATATTGTCATACCTATCAAATATACCAAAAAAAAAACAATAAAATCGGTCGAGCCGTTTCAAAGGAGTGCGACCACAAACACCTATACATATATTAATATATATATTGAATATCCGATGTGAAATTGTTTGTTGCAATTTCCTACATGCAACTTTGCTACCTCACAATTCGTAGAATTCAGAGACAATTCTCTGAATTTTCTGAGCTCTTAGTCGAATTTCGTAATTTTGTGAATTAAAACTTAGGCAGATTGCCTTGTATTTGGATTTTTATATATGCCCTCCTTTTAACTAGACCGCAGTCGAGTAAAAATGAAATTTCTAAACAATAGTTCCACATCACATGACCAAGTATTTGCTGACACAATGATATCATTCGACTTAACGCATCACATTCGACATACAGACGGTAGATTCTTCAAATAAATAGTACAATAATCATTAAAACGGTGTTTACTTCCTTAATAAATTCAACAGAACTAAGTCGCTATTTATAGCTTATCTGCAGCTACTCAGCATGATTTGTCTCTATATTGCTTATTGTCAGCTTCCGCGTGATATGAGCGTGTATTGTATGGTATTCAGCTTTACCATTGGTCTGTCTGTTGTCGTCCATATTATATAAAAACTAACGACCCAACTCGACTTCGCTGGTCGTCTCTTTTGATGTGGCATGGATAAAATATTTTTTTCCTATTCTCACTATCACTTTACTCCTTTGGAGGCAGATTTCAAAAAATATGTCTTTAAAGTACTTAACTATCTAGATTTCAGTACTTCTGCATTAGGTTTGCTTTAGGTATTGATATGTGTGCACTGAGTTAGTCTGGACTGCTTTAAGTTAATTTTTATTTTCAATAATACAGAAATGTCTTGTAGATTTTACCTTTATATTTGATGTAAAAAGTTATACCAACTTCATATGTATATGCGCATTTTTTTATATTTGTGTAAAAAAGAACATAATTTCCAGTTACTCAGTTGCTGTTAAAAAAAACCCAACTTTAAATACACAAACCCACTTTCACATAGATATTATATATATTTATATATATATATATATATATATATATATATATATTATATATATATATATGAATGAAGAATGAGTTAATATTATAAAAAATAATAAAATATTTCTACTTCTATGTATATATCATTGTTATTTGCACACGCTAATGAAGACGTATCTGCAGTCATTTATTTAACTGTTGAGACGTGGTATCGCTAATGTACTACCTACATATATGTTGTATTAACGGAGTCATAAATCATAATGTTAATTTAAAGAAATATCTCTGTATCTGTATAGGTTTAAATTAAAAAAAAAATACTTGTACTAAAATGATTTTCGCATTCGATCGAGATTTAAAAAACAGTACCGTTCAAATAGGTTCTATTGCTAGAATTAAAAAAATGGTTAAAGAACGTTAGTTTTCTAACGGCTATTAGCCTGGGATACTATTATTGATTTGTGATTTTCTAGAAGATATCACACATTGGGAATTATAAAATGTATATTCCTTTTATGTAAAGTTCCATAACTGTGGAATAATTACAGTTCTAAGTCAATGAGACTGTTTTAGTTTAAAAAATATTCAATTATATATATATATATATATATTTCTTCATCACAAAAAAGTTGGTAAGCTTAACAAACAAAAATAATGGAAGTTTTTTCTTACATAACAGGTCCTCGGTCAAACCCAAGACCACCGTCACAGGGTCCTAGTAGCAGCGGCCAAGAACATAAAGAATTGGTTCGTCAAAGTGCGCAAGATAAAGGCCATATACCACACTTTGAATTTATTCAACTTGGACGTTACGCAGAAGTGCTTGATCGCTGAATGTTGGGTGCCGGCTTTGGACATGGAAACTATACAGCTAGCGTTGAGGAGAGGCACGGTATGTACATTATTGGTTTGGTCTCAAAAAATTGGTGAAGATCTGATGAGGGTCTTCAGCGTGATGAGCAAAAGAATAGCTCCTCAAAATGCAGTAACTTTAGTGGTATATTAATTGTTGCAAAAAAGTTTGTGCTCGCGAGGTCTACTGTTCGTTTGCAAAACTACTGGTTTTTGTTTTTATTATATAGTTAGCTGAACACCCCATAGGTATCGCCATGTTTAAAATTAATTTTGTTCTGATCTTTGAGTTCATAATTTTACAGAATAAAGCAGTTTTAGGTTTTACCGACTTCCCAGTGTTCGGAGATTCTTTCAAATTTTTGTTCGAATTTTTATTTTTTTGTAATAAAAAGTTACGTTATTTTCATTTCATTACTAAAAAACTAAAATTTATGTATTATTAGCGTTCATATTTTAAATATTATGGTAAATCTTAACATTAACGCTTTTAAGTCAAATTTTAACTACAAAAACAATCTAAAATTTCAAAATATACACTGTTTAACAAATGTTTTAAAAAATATGTAAAACGTTTAAAAATATAAAAATATTGTTATAACAATGAACAGGAAAGAAGTGGTAGCTCTGTGCCGCCCATCCTCAACCGCATGGAGACGTTGGAGGACCCGCCCACATACAACCGCACCAACAAGTTCACCAACGCATTCCAGAACCTCATATACGCGTACGGTGTCGCCACCTACCGGGAGGTTAACCCGGGTAAGTCACGAATTATCGTTGATTTTAAAAATTTAATTTAACTGATTGTGAACCAATTTTCATGATTATTTTTAAACTAGTGACTTACCTGGGTAAGTTCTTTTTTTTGAGCAGAACCGTAATTCTTTTTCTAAAATAAAGGATGCCTAAGTTACTTTTTATAACATCAGCTATCTGCCAGTGAAAGTCCCGTTGAAATCGATCCAATCGTTCTGGGGATTAGCCGCAACAAACGGATTTTAAAAATTTTGTCTGTCTGTCTGACAGACAAAAATTTTAAAATCTGTGTTTTTCTTAGAAGTACCGTATATAATTTCATATGCATTTAGTTCAATTTTATTTACCTGTATAGATATTTAATGAAAAAACCCCATAAAAATTTGAAGAAAAAAAATCATTCATATAAGTGTTTTTTTATTATTTAAGAGTAATTAAGTATAAATATATAAACCTACCTTTTTAGAGTTTTAGCGCGGGTGAAACTGCGGGTTCTGCTAGTATAGTATAAGTATTATTTATGTAATATGTATTGTGTATCATTGCCAGCGCCGTACACAATAATCACGTTCCCGTTCCTGTTCGCGGTGATGTTCGGCGACCTCGGGCACGGCGCGCTCATGGCCGCCTTCGGCTTCTGGATGTGCTACAAGGAGAAGCCGCTGCAGGCCAAGAAGATCGACAGCGAGGTGAGCTGTGTGCTGGATTCAGTCCTCGTAACATCCCACCGCTGTGCACGGGCCTCCATTCAATGCGAGGGGGATCAGGCCATAGTCCACCACGCTGGCCAAGTGCGGGTTGGCGGACTTCACATGTCTTTCGAAAACATGCTAGGTTCTCTCAGACATACAGGTTTCCTCACGATGTTTTCCTTCACCGTAAGGCAAGTGGTAATCATGTTAAAAATGATTCGCACGTGAAAATATCAGAAGTGCGAGAGCCGGGGCTTAAACTCGCTTAGCAAGCAAACATGTTACCACTGGGCTACCACTGCCCAAAACTTGTTTGGTTGGGTTTCTTCCGTTTTTTTTTGTGGTAGACATTAAAATCAAATTATAAATTATTTTAATAGACTTTTGCAAGCACTTTTGAATCGTCAATTTTAAATTTAAATGGATCCAGTATGTAAATCCGTGAGGAATCAACCACCTACTCCGAAAGCAGTTCTTCTAAGAGCCGGTGACATACTTAACAGTTCCTTTTTTTTTTAATTTACAAATAATATATTAAAAAGTGGTAGTCCATAGTAAATACCTTTGTTTGGGAAAACGTGTGAAACTTGTTTCAACTTTCACCTCTGATGTTCTCATATAAGAATATAAGAATTATTGTCAACATGATTACCACACGGTGAAGAAAAACATCTTTAAGAAACTAGCATGTCTGAAAAGATTTAATTAGTATTTTACAGACATGTGAAGATTCTTTTCTTATTATATTATGTATTGTATAGAGTATAAAGTATAATAAAAAAGCGATTTAAATAGTTAAACTATAGTATTTTTTTCATTACATTTGATTACTAAGAATATATGTATGAACATAATGTATGTCTGTACAGATCTGGAACATATTCTTCGGTGGTCGCTACATAATCCTGCTGATGGGCCTGTTCTCAATGTACACCGGCATCATATACAACGACATCTTCTCCAAGTCTCTGAACATCTTTGGCTCCTCGTGGAACCACAGCTACAACCAGTCCACCCTGATGGATAACAAGGACCTGCAGCTCAACCCCGACTCCACTGACTACTCCGGGCAGCCGTACCCATTCGGTATTGATCCTGTGTGGCAGGTTTGTTCTACTGTTCTCTTATTTAGCTTTTTGTATGCATAGTTTAAATAAATACTGAATAAATGATTTTCACTATCTTCAGTACTGTTATTAGCTTTAATAGATGTGATATATACTTAGGTATTCCATAGACCATTGAGTAATAGCATTTTGTTATTCCGTACTACCGACTCTACCTTCGCTTCGAGTTGGTATTTTTTTCCGGATAAAAAGTAGCCTATTCCAGACTATAATCTATCTCCGTGCCAAATTTCATCCATATCCGTTCAGCCGTTCTCGCGTGAGTGAGTAACAAACATCCAAACATCCATCCTCACAAATTTTCATATGTCTAATATTGGTAGGATGAGAAAAAAGCAAGCGAAAGCAAAGCAAGAATAACTGATTTTACTATCTGGATTTCTATATAATAAAAACGTGATTTTAATCATTTTAGAAATGATATAGTATTTTTAGGAACCAGAAATGTTTTTTTTATAAAAAAAAAAGAAAAAACAGTTAAGAACTATTTCTGTGCAATCACAAATAATGATAAGTAACTTCAATGCTAACCTAACAAATACGACGCAGCTGAGACGTTTGACGTGCAAAAAGCCCTGTCATCTGTTTGACACTTGCTTTTATAGGTGCAATGCAACTCGATACTGTTACTTCTCGTTCATTCTTAACAGTATTATATAAAAAATAGTTATATTTGTATAGTACATATTTACGTATAATATTTATTATGAGCATTAAAAAAGTTAACAATTGTTTTATTTATTTTTTATTTCTTATAATAAGATATCTGATTAATGTGTTTAATTGTAGTTGGCTGAAGGTAACAAGATTATTTTCATGAACGCGTACAAAATGAAGATTTCCATCATCATCGGTGTATTCCACATGTTGTTCGGTGTCTGTATGTCGCTGTGGAACCATTTGTAAGTCAATATTTATCAAGTAAATTCTATAACTATCGCTTTTATATAACGGATTTACCCTCGCTTCCCTTGCGTCCAAAGATGCTTATTTTTATACTAAATTTAATCCAAACCTGTCCAGCCCGTTGTAACATGAAGTAATAACATAAACACTAATTTTTCGCATTATTACCAGGCTTTTTTTAAATTAAATCATGTTTTTTTTTTGAAAAAGTTTAGTTTTCTAGAAAGAAAATGAAAATTAATTATATTATGATATTCTATAAATATATGATTGTAAGATGCCTAATATGCCTAATTTAATTATTTATTTGTTTTAATTTAATTGCAATATTTGTCAAAGAAGTTTTATGTCAACCGCGTGAAAAGGTTACACGCACCCATTTTTTTTAAGCCAATATATTAAATTTCAAGAAACTTCTTCTACCTTTGCATAATTTTGAAACTAGTGTACTTTTCTGGTGGCCAAATCGTTCTATTTGTAACGTTGTGACACTTAACTAATTGGGTAATGTTTTATAACAAAGTTGTGAGATACATGCTTCCATAGATAGCTACTTAATAAATTAACCGACTTGGTTTAACATCAGATCTAAAAACTTTTTCCGTTAAAAGAACTGCGTTGTGAGATTTGCATTTTTTTACATGTTATATTTTTCATGGGATTTATATAAAAGTAAAGTAAATTAACGAATATATTCCTCCTCAGATACTTCAAGCGTCGCATCAGTATCTACGTGGAGTTCATCCCGCAGATAATGTTCCTGATGCTGCTGTTCTTCTACATGGTGCTGCTCATGTTCATCAAGTGGACCAGCTACGGGCCCACGCCGCCCCACTACGGGGACGAAAGTCAGTGGCTATGCATGGCAATCAAACTTTGTATTTTATATCAAATCAAAATAAACTTTGTTATATATATATATATATATATATATATATATATGAATTTTATATCCCTTACATGAGAAATGATTTATTCCCCATACAAACTTCCACCCCCCCTTATACGCCCTAGCCTATTTGAATAAAGTTTATTTTGATTTGATTTTGAAACGTATAGTCTGTCAAGAAAGAGTAGAAAATAATGGGGGCGCCACCATCGGACGTTGGCCACACCATTTCCGGTATACTATAAAAGATTTTGATACTTTAATTATATGCAGTTTTGAAAATGCACTTTACCTAGGCAATACCATACCAAAATTCATTTCATCAATTGTAGTTGCGATTTTATTCGCTAAAAGGGTAAATATAATATATATGAATAAGTCATACACACAAATCATAATAATTTATTTTATAAAAGAAATTCTTCATCTAGGTATTCTACTCCCTCGACTCCCATGTTTTCATGGCTACAGCCGGCGGCCTCAAAATCAGTTCCTTCATTTAAGTCTCCTACTCGCTAAATGTTTTCTTCCTCGAACTCAGAATCAGAGGTAGTGCTGCTGCTATCCTCTAAATTAATCACTACTTGCTCTATGTCGTGGTAAAGAGTTAATTCTCGCTGATAATAAGACTTCTCTATCTCCACTACATGCTTGCAAGATTTTCTCCAGTCGCTTTCTGTTATACCTCCGAAAGCACGTTCTGCTGCTTCCTTTAAAGATAAAACGTATATAATACCAATGTATATGAATATTCAAAGAAATATAAATTATTCTACACTGTCATACCTTTATATCAATCGACCCTACGTTTTGGGCAGCAATTTTACGTTTTGCAATACCCCAGATGAGCTCAATGGGATTTAAATCACAGTGGTAAGGTGGAAGTCTTACCACTGTATGGCCATATGAACCTAGAATTTCGTCAATTTCGTACTTTGGCACTGGCTTGTGACGTTTCACAAGCATTAGCAGCTGTGGCTTGCGGAGTGTATCATCAAAATGTATTTGGTTTTGAGTTAACCATTCTTTGATTTCTGCTATTTTAGTACCTGATGTGGAGATAATTTATGATTAATATTTGAAATTGCTTATTGTAATATGTAAATCAATTTTACTGTATGTAAATTAATAGCTAAAAAGAGGGTGATTAGTACCTGTTGTAGGCGCTTTGTTTAGCACCGTAGAGTGGTAAGGGGCATTATCCATAACAATGATTGAAGCTGGTGGTAAATTTGGAATGAGTTTTTCTGTGACCCATTTTGTAAAATTGCTTCTATTCATTTCTGAATGGTAATCTGCATTTTTGCTTGATCCAGTAAAGATGAGCAATGCATTGGGGATAAACCCCTTTTCACTGCCAGCATGAATAATTATGTAGCGTTTGCCTTTGGATATGTTTTGTTTTATACCGGGTACATGAATAGATTGCCAACACTTTTCTAATTTATATGACTGGTGGACGTAGCTTTCATCTAAATATATTACCTCTTTTCGTAACTCCTCAGGCAAATTTCTGTTATTTAATATTATTTTTAGATATTCTGCTCGTTTCGCAGCTATATGTGATTTTTCTATCAGAGCACTACGTTCGGACTGGCATTTCATATACTTGAAACCTAATACTTTAAGTACTTGTCGCAAATGCTCATGACTCCCATCGTACCCCAAATCTTCTCTTAATATGGGAATTAAATTTCTTAACATTGGTGCCTGAAAATGATATTGGTATTAGAATATTGAATTTAGTATTATTGAAATTAATTGAATATAATTGGTATTATACCAATAACAAAATATTTATTTCTATCTTGAAATAATTAAAAACTAATACTAAAAATATGTATTACCTGTTTCCTTACTGTATAAAAAAATTGTATTTTTTGTCGGATAGCACACAAGTCAAAATCATCTAAATGTTTTTTGGGTCGACCTCTTCTTTGCTTCCCAGGAGTTGAAAATATGCCATTATTTCTATGGCCTTCCAAAACAACTCTTCTCACGGTAGATTCAGATTTTCCTAATTAAATAATCCACAAAATAAGTACTTTCAAGTTTCATATTAATAATGTTGATTTAAAGCAAATGTAAAAATTATACTTTATTTGAAATAAGATTTAATTTAATATGTAATGAGTTTATGACCTACAGGTTACAATACAAACATGCGTTATGTATCAAATAATGTAAGTATCAAATAATTTATGCGGTCTATAACACAGCCTAAATGCGCTGTCATCGACGTTTGTAAACATAACCTAAGTGAAAAATGATTATTCTAAATATACCTATTATTAAGCTTGGTAGTGACCCATAATAGCTTTGGGTGGATGAATTATTATTTGATATAACACATTAAAACTCACAAATACCTGTCATTTCAGCGGTTCTTTTATAAACATTGTTCAAATCAGAAAGTATATTTTTGGCCTCATACTCCAAAAGACATCTTCTGTACACTCTATAAATTATTTCCCGAGCAGAACTTCGAATTGTTCTATTCATTTTCCTTACTTAAGACCAAATTTATCACGGTTTTTAGACTTTAATTTTTATGGAAACGAAATTGAAAGTTTTGTTTACGTAAAATTTCAGGAAATGTCAATTTTGTCAGAATGTTGCCACTATAAAAAAAAAATAGTTCCGTTTCTACACTTTCTTGACAGGCTATACATGTGTATCCCTCAATCAAGTCACCAAAGTAAAAGTAAAGTAACGTGTACAATGTATAATTTGTCGTTAGATTACGTGAAGACGAGCGGTTTCTGCGCGCCCTCCATCCTCATCACGTTCATCAACATGATGCTGTTCAAGACGGACGCCAACACGCGGCCGCAGTGCGACGACACCATGTTCGCCGGACAGATCGGCATTCAGAAGGTATATACTATACTCTATACATACACCATACTACATATTGACACCTGCTGAGAAGTAAAATGCTAATCTGTGTATATTTAAAAAGAAACTTAATAGGGAAAAACGTGTGATTTATTTTTTAATCCCTCAACGACCGCAGACACGCCGGCGTGTTAGTTAACAATAGATTTCTTAGAATTTTAATTAATTTCTTGGAGATTTACCTGGAGGTGTTAATATAATTTCTTTTTTGAAAATAATTATTTAAAAGTGTGTAAATATAGGTGGGAAATTTAAAGTATTTAAAACGCACGCCATTAGTCGGACCGCATATGACGTCAGAGTATAATAACAGAGCGATTAACGGTTTTGTCGCCACAAATTGAGTCGTCATTTCTCTGTATGTATCATACTGTGACGTCACGCGAAGCGCGCGAAATGGCGGACGTTTAAAGTATCCGTGTCGGTATGATATTTAAAAAAAATATATACAACATTTTACTTTTTTGGAACGAGTTTTTTTTACTATTATATATTATATAGCTATTGTATAAAAAATTAAAAAAAAAACATCACGCATAATTCCTATTCTACATATTTTTAAAGTCCGAATTTGAAATTGCTACAATATTGAATTACAACAATATTGAATTACAACATTGTTCCTTATAACTATTGATATCTAGTAATATAAAATAGAATACTACAACAGATAGATTCCTAATACGAATATGGGCCCAATACAAATTGTTTTACAGCAACAGATGGCGCTTATCAGAAAATAACCGAAATATTTTATTAAAATGTGTATAGTTGTGTTGTTTAGAGTTGAATATAATATGATAAATCATAAAACAAATAACGTAAACGCAAACGACGCAATCAACGCCATTTATTTAAGCAGTACAAACTTATTACCTAATGGCTGATACCATCACATACTAACATATAATATGGTACATACAACTGACACATTTTGTTAATAATTAACACAACTTTAGTATTATTTATGTAAATTTAGAAGAAGTAAAATTGTTTATGTACAAGATATTTTATTTGTTTCCAGTTCTTCGTTATCTTGGCCCTGATGTGTGTGCCGGTGATGCTCTTCGGCAAGCCCTACTTCATCATGCAGGAACAGAAGAAACGTGCCGTATGTATATTGTTCATATTAAAAATAATTATTATTTTACTTAGATGACCTGACTGTTAGCAACTAACAAAATTTCATTTTTATTTATATGATCAGTTAATATTGTATTCAGCCCTTTTTAACGTCCCACCGCTACGCACGGGCCTTCCTTCAATACGAGGGGGATCATTTATTTATTTTAAACACTTGTATTAATTTCTGGCTTATGAATAAAATTCTACAAAAACTATGCATTAATGTACTGTTCGTATATCGCACCACCTCGAGAAAAGTAAAGTCAGCTTCATAAAGACTCTTGATAGCTTGATGTAGTCACAGATTATCATATATCAAATTGGTGAATTTGTCGTTATAATATAATATATTTTTCCACAGAGCCAAGGCCACCAGAGCATCGAGGCGGCGGCCGAGAACGGCGCGGCGGGCGGCGCGCCCCTGCCCGCCGCGCACCACGACGAGGACATCACGGAGGTGTTCATACATCAGGTATGCTCTCGCTTATTACTAGCGACTCACTCGGGTTGGCCTCTAGATACGTTTAATTATTTTTTTGGGCAGAACCTTAATTCTTTTTCTAAAATAAAAGTAGTATATGTTACTCCCTACAACATCAGCTATCTTCCAGTGAAAGTCCCGTCAAAATCGGTCCAGTCGTTTCAGAGATTATCCAGAATAAGCAGACAGACAGACAAAAATTTTAAAAACCCTAGATTCGGCTTCTGTATCGATAATAATGTTTATTTCAATAAGATTTTCCAAAAAATATTTAATGTACAGATTCGGCTTAGTTACAATTTTCTTATATGTATAGAATATAGATTTACTTACACAAGATACTCGTACTACTACTTGTGTTGGATTAACCCATACACCTAGATAATGAACTGAGCAATACCCTCATAAAATTGACCAGTCTCTAAAAAGAGATAAAGCGAATGTGCACCACTGTAAACCACTGGAGAGATTTTGATGAAATTTGGTATGATTATATCTTTTTATCCAGGTCAACATATAGGATACTTTTTTCACTGAGAAATGTATACGAAACGTTAAAGAGTATGTGTAACACGTGTCGCGCAGGCTATCCACACGATCGAGTACGTGCTGGGCAGCGTGTCGCACACCGCGTCGTACCTGCGGCTGTGGGCGCTGTCGCTGGCGCACGCGCAGCTCGCGGAGGTCGCCTGGAACATGCTGCTGCGGAAAGGTACACGACACGAGAACACACCATCGATCAATACAATATGGAATATACGTGATTTTTTAAAACGATTTTTTTATAATAGTTAACATCGTTTTAAAATTGTAATAAAATATCCAGCTCCAAAAAACTAAAATTTAGTATAATACTTTCTTTGATTTATGCGAATACTTGACATTTTAAATAAAACTGTCTTTTCGGATTTTTTCGCGAATTTATTTTGATTTTTGGTTCCCGACGTTTCGAATGCTTTACAGCAATCATGGTTACGGGAGAGACTGAGGTGTTACATGTCTCTGAGGTCTATTATATAGTTTTTACAGACAGCCTACTCACAAATAACAAAATGAATGCAAAAAATTGAAAAATAGCACCAAACTACGTTACAATATTTTTTAACTTTTTATATAATTTTAACTATCGCTAATATTATTTTCGCGATTATGATAATACTCTGACGTCATATCCGGTCTGAGCAATGGCGTTCGTTTCATCTACTTTGAATTTCCCACTTCTATTTACACTTTTTAATAATTATTTTCTTAATCAAAAAGAAATTACATTAATAAATATTGATAAAGGCTTAATTCATAAGCAATAAAGATTATAAAAAAAATATTTTACCTTTATTTAAATAACACGCATATTCCTTTAATTAAATCTTAGAACATATCTAAAATAAAATATCTAATAGTAAATACTGCTTGTAGATTTCCTTATAAAACAAAAAAAATATTCCCATATTATACACATCGTAATGGTACACTCGCGTATACAAACCAATATACAAATTTAAGCAAATACATAATAATTATGTACTTTATATATACTATTCTTTATTGCACTTATATGTAAAATACAGAGAGTAACAAACAATAAAATTTGTTTTATTGTAAAGGTACACTTGCACACACAAATCTACATAATTTTAGTTTATCGTAAAGGTACACTACACACGCGTTCAAATTCAATCATCATAATGTATCATCACAAAAGTACACTCGCACACACAAATCAATAAATATAATTAAACTTTATCACAAAGGTCGTTGTCCCCCCCTCAGGGCTGCAGTCGGCGGGGTACCAGGGCGGCATCTACCTGTACGTGGTGTTCGCGGGCTGGGCCGCCATCTCCGTGTCCATCCTCGTGCTCATGGAGGGGCTCTCTGCATTCCTGCACACGCTGCGTCTTCATTGGTACGCAGTATTTGTTTATTTTTATTTGATGCAGGTGGAAAAAGTGACGCGGACAGGGGACTGTGAGACGCTTACTTACTCAAATATATAGTGATATATTGATCGCTTGTGCACACACTGCAACCCGTCCCTTTTTTTCATGTTGCTATGGAAACCCTTTATCTGGCGGTCAAGTGTTTGTATATATAGGACCTTCATAATATAATAATAATAATAATCTTTATTCGGTATCTCAAAAATTTTACAATAGCAAATTTTATAATATACTATTTAAATCATAGAAAATTTTATTTTAGAACATGGTGACATGTTAGAAATTATCTAAATATAGTTTTCGAAAGACAAATGTGAAATTTCCTAATACCGGCAGTGAAGCGATAAATGAGCGAGAAAAAAAAATATATATTTAGCCCTTTTTAACGTCCCACTGCTGGGCGCGGGCCTCCCTTCAGTACGAGGGGAATCAGCCCATAGTCCACCACGCTGGCCAAATCGGGTTGGCGGACTTCACATGTCTTTTGAAAACTTGCTAGGTTCTCAGACATGCAGGTTTCCTCACGATGTTTTCGTTCACCGTTAAGACAAGTGACCACTGGGCTACCACTGCCTTATATGCCTGCACTTATATTATAAATTTAAATGTTTGTATAATTCACTTCTTGCCTTCGTGAGTTAAATAACACAAATTACATTAATATGTAATGTTGAATAAATGAATAATTCTTTTTTTCTTCCAGGGTCGAGTTCCAAAGCAAATTCTACTCGGGTGAGGGCTACTTGTTCATGCCCTTCTCCTTCGAAGTGATCCTCGACTCGGCCGGACAGCCCGAGGAGTAAATCCTATAGCATACATGCATAAGCTTCCAGTTCAGTAGAATGCTCTAATAAACATACACACAACATTATTTATATATGGCAGATAGTCTGTCCGTAGCCTTAGGGCGATCCCAATGACGTATCTATCTTCAATTTCTTTTACTAGCGGTAGCAGTTTGACATAGCTTTAGCTAGAGTTAATGTCAAATTTGTATTTCATATGGAGGGTAGTAGGTAAAGAGAACCATCTCTGTGATGAAAAAGTGTCCGTCGAATGGTGTTAAATTAGGGTGGCGCCACCGTAGCAAGTGCGTATATTGTATTATTAAAAATTTACAAAATTAATTCACTCTCTACATTTATATCACCACAGTTTTTTTCGATTATATTTACTAAATTATTTTTAAGTACGTAAATAGTTCCAACAACTACTCAAGTCACCCAAAATGAAATTTTTCAACTCGGCACACTACACTCTGTTTCAAATCAAATCAAAATATACACTTTATTCAAGTAAACTTTTTGTTACAAGCACTTTTGAAATTACATGTCAACAACAAGTTCGTTTACCCTCTCGCTACGCTAGCACTATTCTGGTGGGTTTTTGAACTGTTATTTACCGTTTACAAATGGACACTTTTTCAACTTGTCTCCCATATAAGATGGTTCTTACCTCTAACCCTCCATACTATCTCTAGTAAATAAAAGCACAGATAGATAGATTACAGAGATTCGCTGTTAGATGTCTTGCTGTTTGTTGAACTCGATGTTTATAGGAAATAAATGTTATTACGTAAACTCTTTATCTTATAGTAAATTATGTAATTTAAATATTTCGGTCGTTTTCAACAGCATTGAGATGTTTGGATTTGGTTCTGTCGAAATGTGAACATTATATATATATATATATATATATATATATATATATATATATATATATATATATATATATATTAATTTATGACTTTTTTTAGAAATATCAAAATTTACTTCCATAATTTTATATGTCTTTCATGTAAACTTATTTTTCTATAATCTTGGTTTGGTCATTATGCTTTTTTTGAAATATTGTTTTATTATACAGTTGACATTTTGACATAATTATTTCTGATAGAATAACTTCAAGTGAATATGCAGTAGGATAAGACATTACTAGTAATGCCATAAGAAAAAACTATTTGAATATATCGCTATATATTTCCTATAGCCATGCACATCAGTGACTGTAAAGCAGGCTTTTGTTGGAGTCTTAAAAAATATTCCTATTTTTGTTATAATTTTAAAATCTTAATAAAGGATATCTGATTTTGTAACATTTTATATATTTTTTTATAAGTTCAAATGTACTTAAAGATTTTTGAATTCGTTTTAACCGAGGCTCTCTTTATGTGTAAAATTTCACCTTAGACGTTGTTAGTCATGGATAATGTAATCAATTTGTAGATGTTTTAGCTTCAGTTTAATGATAATAAATGATTTTATCTAGCACAGAGTGGTTTTTTATTTAACACTTAGATTTACGCAAAGAGAGGCTAATATTTTTGTCTATAAAGATTGCAATAGTATTGCTTAATATTTTAACTTTATTAGCAATCTAAATTAATATTTTAACTTCTTTTAAATTACATATAAAACAATAATATTGCTTATAAATAATTATTATTTTTTAATTTTTAATATTCTTTATGGTTATACATAATATAATAATAGCAAAACTAAATAATATTAGTAATTAATAACGTTTTAAAAAAAATGTATAATAACAGCTAAAATGAAATAAATAATATTGCTATATTTATTCATAATAACTATATATATTTTTTAAATGTTTAGAAATAAAAATCAACAAATATTGTAAGGTACTTAAGTGCCATTTTTGAATTTTTGAAATCATTTTTGTAAAATAGTGGGTAGCCATTCTCTGTAACAAGTATATAACGCTTTTGAAACGTCTAAAACCTTACCCTGTTTTCCAATTAGAGCACAGAAGCGCATTATGCGGTATAATGCTAACTTCGGATGTTCCAACTACGGCAACGCTCCGCTCAAACGAGCATTTTGAAAAGTACTGCTTAGGTGTGATGCGCGCAAGGATACCAACTCAATAGCAGAAAATATGAGAAATGTTTTTTCTTCAAGGTGGCATTGATCAAAATTTTACTTACATTATATTTTTTGTTTATATTTTATTAATCTATACATATAATAAAATTCTAACTAAGCCGAATCTGTACATGAAATATTTTTTGGAAAATCTTATTGAAACAGACATTATCATCGATACAGAGGCCAAATCTATAGTTTTTAGAATTTTTGTCTATCTGTCTGTCTGTTACCGCATCACGGAAAAATCACTGGAGGGATTTTGATGAAATTTGGTATGGTGATAGTTGGTTATCCGGGTCAACATATTTTTACCGCGGAAAAATGTCTCATATCTGAGAAAAAATACAAAAACTGCAACAATGTAAGAGTATACTAATATGTAAAACCTAAGAATTAGGTCATCTGAACGCAAGCGTAGCCGCGGGTAATGCTAGTATAATTATATATTAATTAGTAGGGGGTAATCTCTGGATCTACTGAACGATTTAGATGTAATTTGGTAAGAAGATAGTTTGAGACCCTGGGAAGGACATAGGATACTTTTATTCCGGAAACCACCCCTTAAGGGGGTGAAAATGGGGATGAAAGTTTGTATTGGGAAGCAAGCTAGGATCTAACCCGAGAGAAGCGAGGGTGAGTCGTTAATTTAATATATAATTTATAATATTGACGATATGTATTATTATATATTATATTAGCTAGTTATATTTTTTCTTTCAACACTAAACCAACTGCCCTCTGCTGGTGCACTTGAAAACTAATTCACGTTGCAATAAAGCATTAGCACACTTCGGCATTGCGCGCCAAAGTACGGCATTATGCCATATTTAATTGGAAAACAGGGTGAGTCTCTCCCGTGACCATGATTGCTTTAAAGCATTCGAAACGTCGGAAACCAAAAATCAAAATAAAACCGCGAAATAATCCGAAAAGATAGTTTTATTTAAAATGGTATTTTATTTTAATATTTTCCTTATATATTAAAGACACAGGGTATATAAGAGTATTACACAACAATTATTATTCTATTTCTTTCTTACTCATGAGTTTTTATAATTATTATACGAGTAAATAAAGTATGATTATACCTGATATTTTAATAAAACTATCTTTTCGGATTTTGTCGCGGATTTATTTGCATTTTTGTTTCCCGACGTTTCGAATGCTTAACAGCAATCATGGTCACGGGAGAGACTGAGGTATTAGATGTCTCTAAGGTATTATATAGTTGTTACAGACAGCCTACCCACAATTAACAAAATGAATTAAAAAAATTGAAAAATGGCACTAAAGTACCTTATAATATTTTAACTTTTAACTTTAAACATTTTTATATAATTTTAATTAGCTTTATAATTGAATATAGAATATTATTTATTTAATTTGAGCTGTTATTATTATAATTATTACAATTTTAAAAAATATTAATTATTAATCTACATTTTTAGTGTTGCCATTAATATATTTATAACCATAAAGAAAAAATCATAATATATTAATTATTTAAGCCACAATTGATATATGTGTAATTTGAAAAAGTTAAGATTAATTAAAAATAATAATTTTAATTTAAATTTGCTATTATTTAAAATCAAATTATTAAGCAACACATTACTACATACATTTACAAATGAAAAAGTGAAAAAATATTATTAAAAAAAAATCCGAAAAGATAGTTTTATTTAAAATGTCAAATATTCGTGTAAATCTAAGAAAGTATTATACCTGATGTTTTTACAAATGAATAATTATATAAATTTAACACCTCCAGGTAAATTTCTAAGAAATTAATTAAAATTCTAAGAAATCTATTTTTAACTGACACGCCGGCGTGTCCGCGGTCGTGGAGGGATTAATTAGAGGGAATTTATTTTTTATAATATAATAAGTAATAACTATAGTAGATAAGACTTAAGAATTATATAGACAGGGCTCGCTAAAAAATCAGTGAAAAATAGTAGCATGATGTTGCTGTTTATGGTACTATTCTCGGCTTAATACAGATCGTTTACTTCTTTAAAGAACAATGAAAATTTTCTAAAGAAGAAGAAAATATGAACAATATTATATTCTTTTGTGTTTTTATTATAATAAAATTCGTTCGCTATTTTTATTTATTAACATTTATTTACTTATTACTCACTATACAAATGGCAATTTGAATTTAAATCATTACTATTTGGCTTCATATTGAGTTCTGAGTTATGACGCTGTCTATATCACATTTGATACAGTATTTAATATTTTTCTAATGTTAGTTTCCCAAAAACAATCACTAGAGAAAGCTTATCTCTAATCATATTCAGCTCCGATAGTAATGCTGATGTCTCCGGGAAGGACGTTTGTTTTGTGGTACCAACGATTTGTGTCCACTACCACTGGAATGAAAATAACATTTTTAATTAATTAATTATTGTTGCAGTTTGGTATATTTACATTTATTTTTATTATAAACCAAAATCCATCGTGTTTATTGGCGGTAAGCAAATCTGACAGCAAATCGCAGAAATAATTTGGCCTATTACTATTTAATATTTATGTAAATAAACTTTTTATTTTTTTTTAAATAGCAACTACCTACTATGTCTCTTGTACACGATTTAGTCTCAAAAAGACTTTTTACATTATGATCTAAATTTCATTACTGGTGAAAGAAAAAATATTATGCCTTTCATACAAATTTTTGTCATTAATTTCGAAAAAACGTACTAGGGAAATATAATTGCCGCCAATACATTATAACACAATGTTGGTTTTAGACGTAGGTACGTTATCTATTTGTGGAAATCGTTTTGGAATAGAGTACCTATTAAATTATATTAATAAGCGCCTAAGTGCCTCATAGTAACCTATGTGTTACTCGAGGTCATGGTCTATAGTATGTATTTCAGTTTGAAGGAATGACAAACATACACACACAAATGTTCGCATTAATAATAGTAGACTGATTCTTACAAATCTCTCCAGGTTCCACTGTGAAAGTAATCCATCGACACGAGTAAAGGCATTCAGGTGGCGGCGCGAGCTGCCACTGCTTGCGTCCGCGCACCTGCGCTTGCCATGACATGTGACGTACTGAATCCACCTGAAACATTTACTTATTTTAGTATCTACTGCCCTAAATTTCTTCAAGATGTAACTACGTCTTAAGGATTCTTAAATCCTGTTGTATTATTTAAACGCTTGAGAGATAAGACTTTAGAAGCACCGTGGCAAGCAAATTCACGCCATTTTCCAGTCCATAAACTACTTTTTCTCCTTGCTAAAAAATATTACTCTGCAACTGGGTAAAAGAAGAACAAACTTACAAACATTTTTGCATGAGAATGAAGACTTAGTACTATATAATAGACTAAAATTACGCTTCAGTAATAGCTTACATGCATGTGAGCTCCTTGTCCCGGCCCACCCATAAATATCCAATCTACCATATCGCTTTCAGCAGTTCTTGGTAAGAAATATGGTCTATTGTAATACTGCCTCAGAAGCCTTGTCTCTTCTTCGTGGCAAGTACTCCAGCCAACGTACCAAGGCTCTCCGGACAGGTTGGCCCTCTTCTCATCCATGTTAAACACTTGGCTTAAAGAATTTAAGCCAGACTTATAGGCGAAATAGAAGCAATCGTTAATTTTTCTTCCCATCTTGTTGTTTTGGTAGAAGTTAGCGAAAAAATTGAAATTGAAAGTCTAAAATATAAAAAAAAACATTTGTTAAATGGACTCCTATTTTAGTTTATATTATTAAATTTAAACCATCGTAGTATACAAAATATGGAGACCATAAATAAAGGATCTGAAATAAATTTAATATGCAACTAAGACAATATGACCGTGCAGAAATTTCTTTCTGAAAATGGGGACGCAAAAGTACTTGAATTAATACAGTTTATTTAGCAGATTTGATTGACAGACATGCCTCCATTGCCTTCCAGTCGTTAGTTGCATCGGTCACTATAATAGGTCGGGTTGTGTATGCATATAGGTCTTCAAATTCCTCCGAGCTAGTATTAGCGAGACGAGTCACGTCATTGACGCCGATACACATCGAGCAGTCTTCTGGCGACCGAAATAGGGACTTGGTGTCAAGAGGCAGAGAGAGGAGGCAACGCTGAAATAAAAATTATCATTATATTATAATTAATTTTCTCAAAAAAAAAACTGTAATGTCACAATCGACATGTACCTATAGGCTTATTGGTCGGATAAGAAATAAGTCCCGAGTACGATTCCCGGGTTGAACGCTTCTTGTAGAGAGTGAACGGTGATATTATGATGTTCAGCATTCGAGAGCTATGATCATATCGCGATACTGGTGAAGGGTATATTTAATTTATTAAGTATGAAACTGAAACTTATATCTATAGAAATACTTGAGTTATTCAAATTACGGATAAGATAAGTACTTACATTTGTATAAGGATCAAAAGAAATCCACCACACACCAACTACTAAAAGCAAAATTGTACAAAATAGCAAACATTTTTTTAACGCGCCATTCAAAACACGTATACTCCATCTTTTATTAGCCGAAACATTTAAATTGGAAAGATAATAATTATTTAGTTTAAGCGTATCAATTTTATTTATGATCTTGTTCAATTTTAATTCGGTTGTTTTTAATTTTTTCTCGCAAACTTTAGCATGTTCCGTTAACATGTTGGGTTAAGCAGTGGACAGCGTTTGAATGAGGAGAGCTTAGTTCTTTCATAGAATTTAAAAGCTACGTGTTCATAGAGTTAGAAAGTTCTGAGATAGGGCTTTTAATATTATTAGCGAAAAGGCATTTTTTAATAAAACTTGTTTTATTCAACGTTCAACTGAACATGATATTATAGTATGTTAGAAAATTGAACTCTATGAAAAACTAATAAATTGATGTAGTCGTCATAAGGAATGATATTATTTGCAAATAAACTAAGAGTACTTGTGTTGTATAACAATCTCTACTTATTAGGTAAATTAATCGAGATTGTCTCACGCTAGAATTGAACCTACAATCCTAGACTAGGTTTACTATCTAGGTATTAGGTATGATAGTACTATGCTATAGAGTAGATAGTAGTAGGTACTATGAACTATCCCAGACAGCAAACTTTTTTTTGTAGGACCCTCACTATACTCATGCAAAAAAAATATTATATAACTTCTATATTCGTGACTATTTCGGAGAAAGTCTTTTTATTTCCCTGGCTAGAAAATATCATATGCTCTCTCGAATCCTTTATCTAACAGTAAAAGTTTAGTCTAGCAGTTATAATCATAGATGGATACTTTAAGTTTTTTTAAAACTATAGTTTTTTTTAATATTTTAATACCTAATAACTTATTATTTTGCCACATAAAAAAAATCCAATAGGAATTCCCAATAAAATATATAAAAAATTAAAAAATCAAATTTCATAAATTCTAAGAGTACCTTCTCCAAGTTTTATGGGTCTATAAAAAGTTACGAAGTTTCGAACGCGTGTTAAGCAGCAATGTGGGTGCACTTGGTATGAAATTGAAATTCATTATCGGCTCGCGACACCACAACTGCGTTCCTTTATCCTATTTAACGCCTTAACGCTCCAGAACCTAATAAACAAGAAGCTATCAATTGTATTTGATATAATGTATGTGATACGACGCATATTAATTTTTCGTACTTACATCATGCAATAAAACTGTAAAGATAGGTTTCTGTCGATTGGTACTAATTTATATGGGAATTTTTTTCTTAGAATCGCATAACAAATTCAATAATCATACAAGTCTTTTGAAGACTTCATAGATTGCAGCATGGACATAGATTACCTTTTATTACTTCCAAGCTTATCTATAGGTACATATAATAAAATTGTAACTAAGCTGAACCTGTACATTACATATTTTTTGGAAAATCTTATTGAAATAGACATTATTATCGATACAGAGGCCGAATCTATAGTTTTTAGAATTTTTGTCTGTCTATCTGTCTGTTACCGCATCACGAAAAAACCACTGGAGGGATTTTGATGAAATTTGGTATGATGATAGCTGGTTATCCGGGTCAACATTGGGATACTTTTTACCGCGGGAATGTCTCATTTCTGAGAAAAAATACAAAAATTGCAAAGTAAGAGTACACTAATATGTAAAACCTTATAGGATATGGTTTTTAGTCATTTTAACGCGGGCGGAGCCGCGGGCAATGCTAGTTATAGAATATTTTTATTATACGCTCGGGTGCGTCCCTAACCTTGAATGGTTTAGAAACGTATAAACGACAACCGTTGGCGTCCACACAACACAACCTTTTTTTGCAGGAACCTTCGCAGGCGTATACAGGATAACCACCAGAGATTGATCAATGGCTTAGGAACGTATAAATAACAAACATACGAACATTCATATCTATTTATAACGAAGAAGGTTAATTAAAACTTCAATAGGATATGATTAATCTCGTTTTTTTGAAAGCTGACCATACAAAGAAATCAATTTCAAATACTTTTAAAGTGCAATTACCCTTTTTTATCGTTGGAAAATGCATTTACGCATTCCGCGGTTATGTGGGACTCACCACTAGAAAAGCCAGTACTACCCACTATAAGTTAACGGTAACTCCTCGATTTGATGGGACGTCGCAAGATCGCGTACGTACTCAATCACGACACCCCGACGGCAGGCCTGACGATGCAGACTTCACCAACCATGGGGTTGCTTTAACGGTCTGCTCTGCTATCAGAGAAGTACCTGGAGTAACCCGCATGAAATACAAGCCCCTGGGCCCTGGCACACCGCCCACCGATGAATGAGTGATTAGATGATAGTGCGTTTCTTGGTTTCACACCCGACAAATGAAGATACTCTCGTTACCATTTGATACCATCCAAAGTTGTTATTTATAAACCATAAAATTTACTATGTTTGCCACAAAACATTTATCAATTAGATCAATGGTTCATATCAATTCAATTCAATTTTCTTGTTAATTGCTTCAAAACGTGCCAGTTGAGTTCATAAATCTTATTTTAATATAGTTTAGTTAAAGTCTGATAGATGATTAAAGCCCACGGAAAATTGCTGGAAATAGGTATGTAGTATGTTTTATAATACATATTCTGTAAACCTTAGTAGGCGTTTAAAAAGCATCTGTTCTACTATACCATAGAATTTTAATATTTGCAGTAATTCATGTATACGGATATACAGTTTGAATCGGCTATAATTTTAAATTAATAAGTACGTATACGTTTTCAAGTGCTTTGTAGACAAATCTTGCTGCTGAATCATTTTTTTTTCTTCAATGGCTTATAGTTGCGTTAATGATGTTTTTCTTCTACTTAGTTGGATTTTTTTTTGTCTTTGAGTAATGTCAACATGACAGAACCTTGTGTGTGTCAAAAGTTTTGACATAGTCTAAACCATGGATGACAAATAGTCTAAACTCAAAATATTTTTGTTTTGATCGAAGCACATCTAAGAGAATAAAACTGATAGTAATGTTTGTTGACTTAATATTTGATTAATAATAAAATAACGTACCCATATAATATTTAATAGAGCAAATATAAACAAAAAATGGCAGCTATTCTTGGAGGCGGTTTGGGTGGATTATCAACAGGTTATTATTTGCTTAAAAATAACTTAAATAATAATAATAACTTAAAATTATTTCTTTTGGAGGCTACTGATTATTGTGGGGGATGGATAAAATCTATAAAAACCAAAGACTATATCTTCGAGCAAGGTCCTCGAACTATCCGGCCTAAAGGTACGACCGGCCTCAATACTTTAAATATGATGCAAGATTTAGGGCTCAGTGAACATATTGCTGCTATTAAACCTGACCACCCCGCAGCAAGGAACAGAATGATATATGTGAACAACACTCTGCACTTATTACCTTCTAGTATAAAGGGTATTTTTCAAAAAAATGAACCATTCTCTAAACCGCTTATTTTCGCGGCTTTAAATGATTTAAAACAGCCCCATACAGAACTAAAAGATGATTCTATTTATAATTTTGTTGATAGAAGATTTGGCAGAGAGATTGCAGATTATGCTATATCACCAATGATCTGTGGGATATGTGCTGGTGATGCAAAACAGATTTCTGTCAAATTTCTTATGAAAAACTTATTTGAATATGAGCAAATGTATGGAGGAGTACTCAAAGGTGTAATGAAATCTTTATTTAAAACTAAGACTGATAAACCGATAGAATTAAGTGAATTAGCTAGAAAGGCACAAGAAGAAAAATGGAGTGTTTACACAATAAAAGGTGGTCTTGATATCTTTCCAACAGTAATGAAGCAATTTTTAAAGGAAAACAATGTTGATTTACACTTAAATACAAAAGTAGATGAAATAGAATTTGTAGACTCGAGTATGGTGAAACTGAAAAAAGAGAATGGGGAAACTATGACTGCTACTCATGTATATTCGTCAGTCCCCTCACATATTTTGGCAAAATTAGTCACAAAGCAGCACCCAGAATTATCGAAACTACTAAATGACATACCTTTTGTGACGGTTGGTATTGTAAATTTATATTTTGCAACAGAAAAACCATTAATTACTCCAGCCTTTGGATTTTTAGTGCCTCCCATTGAGAACTCACCGATTTTGGGGGTTGTATTTGATTCTTGTTGTATTCCAGACCAAAATGGTACAGTATTGACAGTAATGTTAGGTGGAAAATGGTTTAAAGAGAAATTTGGAAACAATGTAACAAAGGAGAAGCTGTTAGATATAGCTATGAAAGAAATAAGATCAATTCTAAAAATAGATGAGAAAGTGTCAGCACATAATGTTAATATTTTGCATAAATGTATACCACAATATGTCATAGGGCATTATGAGCGAGTTGATAAAATAAGAGAGTATATTCAAAGCAATAATTTACCTATATCTGTAGTTGGCAGTAGTTATGATGGGGTCGGTATAAATGATGTAATTTATTCAGCAAAAACTCAAGTTGAAGAAGATCTTATGAAGTAAAGGGTTTTTTTTTTAAGTTTAGTATTAGTTTTGAATATTTTCAATATATGTAAGGGGTTATATGCTGCAAAAATGTTAATGTTTATTTTGTACATGTAAATAAATTATTTATTAAAGTTATTTGTTTTATGTCATTCATTTGGTGTAAAGAAACCACCTGATACACATATTCACTGTTAAACCAGAGAATATTTGACTTATTACTTGAAAAGCTGAAACCTATTTGTTTTTGTTGGTGAAGCATAACATCATATAATGATCAATCAGTATGAAAAATTGACAAATCTTTTTATTTATATTTTAATAAAAGTTGTATAAAGGATAATTAATGCAAGTATAGTTTTATTGTAATTTCTACCTATGGAATTTTTAATTTTAATATTTTGACATAAAATTTCAAATTGTAAATGGAAAAGAAATAAAAAAACGTGCATTACTTCTCATAAATACTTTATTTAGCAGTTGCTGCAGCTGTGGTTACATGGCTATAATAATGTTTTACAACAAATTGTACATAGTTCAAAGATTAATAGCCCAGTAAAATTATTTGGTAATAAATTAATAGTATAAAAACATTTTTTACACAAGCTTTTATATCATATAAATTGTGTAATGTAATAAATTGATGGGTTTGATTTAATAAAAAAAATATTTTCTTCTTTTAAGGGCATTTAAATAAGAGCTTGCTTTTAAAAAAAAAAAACATTTAATTAATTTTTTAGTTATCGCTGGACATGTTTCATGGACATAACTGCTTTAAAATTCAGTTGCAAGATTTGACCCGAACAAACAAACATTGCAAGTTGAATAAAAGCTTGTTAAAAAAAAGAGGGAAACCTTGGAATAAAATGTGCTATACTCTATAATTAGCTATTTTGTTTTGGTATTTTATTTTATATATAAATTATAGTCTTGTGTCCATATCACAAGTTATTATAGATTAAAGGTCAACAGAAATATTATGGTGTAAAATAATATTTTATACAATCAACCGTTTTTGTGTTGGGTGAAGAAAATAAGATAATTTAAAAAAACACCTTATTTCTAATATTTTGTGGTAAACAGGCTATGTATTAAAAAAGCAAAAAAATAATAATTTTTTGTCGTAATATTTCTGGTATTTTGTGACATGAACAGCACAATTATGTGCCTCACTAATGTGAGCCTTTTGAGGAAATAAATAAAATGCAAAAATAAAACAGCTAAATACCTTACAATCCCAGGTTATAGATATACTTATTTAAGTGGGCTATAATGTTAATAAAATTTTACATATAAATAATAATTATCAGAATATGTAAAGGATGTTATATACTAATATGTTAAGAACCTTCGTAAGCGACATAATAAGTTTTATTTGTTAAATAAATTGTTGGAAATATTTAAATTATTTCTGCCATAAGAAAGCCTTTGATTTAACTTACAATTAAACTTAAAACTATGTATAAAGTTATACAATAAATAAGCGAAAAATAGTGTACAACGCCTTTGTTTCCTTTAATATATTTTTTTAGCATTTACCTTTCATACATTTGTTTTTTCTTCATACATTTGCCTCGAAGAATAAACATAGAGAATATAAAGACTCCTTAATTTACTCTCAGAATTGCCACAGTATGAATATATGCTATATATGTAGGAGTCTATTTTACGATTTTAAGTATATTTTTTTTATGAACAGTATATAAATGAAACCTCGCAACACATTTTTACAAAATCATTTGAATTAAATTATTTTTGTTTCTACAAAGTAACTTACATTTACAATTATTTCAAACTGCCATTATAATAATGTTACAAATTCGAGACTATTGGTCTTGACTCATTCCTGTCATGAAAATGTATGATTTAAAGAAAAATAATTTGATTGACCGATTGTTCGAATATTTGCAAGAAGCTATTTGTTATTGGATTATATCATCTAACTTAACTTTAAGACATTTAAAACACATTCATCTTAGATTAAATTAATTTCGTTTTTGTAAATACTGTTGAATATAAATAAAATAATCATCTTTTAATGTTAAGAACACATGTTCTGCACATGCACATGCAGTGCGCATTAAAAAATATTACAGCAATCCTCCAATCAAGTACGAGCCTAATGTTTAACAAACTAAGTCACTTCTTACATTTCAATTGGATCATTATATTCATATACATTTATTATGCAAGTGAGCGATTCAAAAAATATTTTATTGAAACTAATCGTTCGTTAAGCTATTTTAATAATTCATATTCAATTTTTTTTCCTATAATCAGAATGTTCATTAAGCTCATGCCCAATAATAATAATAAAAAAAAACACTCAACTTTATAAACTTATGCTAATAAACTGACATCATCAGAACATACATACATAAATCTCATAAATAATTTCTTAAGACACAATAAATCTTATAAAAGCTTTTTAAATAGCAATTAAGAATCTATATTAGACTAACGACTTACCCTCTCTTCGCTTCCTTAGATGCCTAACAATAACCAATGAAGTAACTCAACAGCCATATTTTTTTAATAAAATTATTATGATTTCTGATAGTAAATACATTTTAATTGAAATAAAAAATAGTCTATGGCCAGTGATAGATTCACCAGCAGGCTGAGTAGGCTTAAGTCTAGGTAAGTCGTTAGTAAGGGTTCATTCAAGTATTACGTAAGCAGAATTTTGGCAATTATAAACACCCCCCCCCTCATCCCCCCCTCCGGTCAGCGAAAGTAACTCCTTACTCCTCCCTCATATGCTTACGTAAACATTACGTCTCAACTCAAAATAAATATAATGTATGTATACTGTATAATCAAAATGTACTAAATTTTAATTAATTATTTAAATAAATAAACATTGCTGGCGTAATCACCATCCAGACCCATGTTATCAAAAATAAGCAAAGCCTCCGCCCCACTTCGGTGCTTACACACTTGAATGGCCCCTAAAGAAATGAGTAGAGTAAGTAAAAGATAATTCCAGTTACTCCCCCACCAGGCCGAGGTCCAGCAGCACGGCGGCGTGCAGCGTGTGGTCGGCGGCGGGCGGCACGGTGTTGCGGTACGAGTACTGCAGCGCGAAGGCCACGCGCGCGGCGTCGCCGGCGCGCGCCGACGCGTCCGTGTCCACTTGCAGACGCATCGCCAGCTTGTTGGACTTCCTCCAGAGGATTATGCTGAAAATATATACATATAATAAAAGTGTAACGGATCGCTGTCTGTACATGGAAGATATTTGAGAAAAACTATCATTGTGGGTCTTTATTTACGCAATAGAACCCAAAACAATATTTTTTATAATCTATGTCTGTTTGTCTGTGCGTTTGTGCGCGCTAATCTCAGAAATGGATGAACCAATTTGGATGCGGTTTTTACTAATATATTGTGGTATGGTTCACTTAACATTTAGTGTTTGTTTTATTTCAATCAGTTCATAAATAAAAAAGTTACGTCAATTTAAAAAATAACCTTTTTTGGACGAACACGAGCGGAGCGAGCGTGAGTCGTTAATAAAGTATAAATATGTTGGGACATTAACACACAGCACCATCTAGTTCCATGGTAAGCTTGATACACGTATCTCAAATCTTGATTTGAGATAATTTGAAATAATTTCATTATATCTCAAATAAAAATAAAGTTATTAATAATATATTTAAGTCTGCCTTCAACAGGTTATTATGAATTTGACTTTATAATTTTATGCAATCTAATTGGTCAGAGGGCGTGGCTAGATCGATGGACAATGGTGACTCATTTCTTTTTTTAACGCGAATGAACTATAGTATATATTTGATCGATGGTATGGTGCAAAGTGAAGGCAATGGAAGCCCAGTGGTAACGTGCTCGCTTGGAAAACCGAGTGAAGAGGATTCAAATCCCGGGTTTCGCACCTCTGATATTTTCATGTGCGAATCATTTTTAACTTAACTACTTGCCTTACGGTGAAGGAAAACAACGTGAGGAAACCTGCATGTCTGAGAGAACCTAACAAGTTTTCGAAAGATATGTAAAGTCCGCCAACCGGCCAGTGTGGTGGACTATGGCCTGATCCCACTCGTACTGAAGGGAGGCCCGTGCCCAGCAGTGGGACGTTAAAAAGGGCTGAATAATAATGTATATATAAACAAAGTGCGACGAACTCGCTGGTGTCGTGCGGCGCGTCGTCGTCGTACTCGGCGGCGTCGTCGCGCTGCGCCAGCGCCAGCGCGGCGGCCGGCGCCCGCAGCGTGCTGGCGCCGCCCAGCGCCGCGCGCCGCCGCACCGCCCTCGCCCACGACGCGTCCTGCACACGCACACACTCAGGGTAACATCATATCTCTGATCCGTCATCACTATAATTGTATCTCATCATAAGAAAAAAAGCTATAATTAAACAGATACACCAACCTAAAATCAGTTTTACCTAAAACTATTCCTATCCTAATAAGTCAGTCATCTCCCTGCCCATTTCCCAATCTCTTGGGATCGGCGCAGTACATCTTCTGTACTGCTGATAGGATTTGGCAAAAGTTTTACGACCGGCCGCCTGCCTGACGTCAACCCTCCTTGGGAATGCTATTGTTTATCACGGAAAGGACTCAAGGAGCGATGACCAGCACATCTAATTTAGATTTAGTATATAAAATTATCTAATGCCAGTAATTTTTTCACCACTTTCATTGGTATAATCATTTGCTTGAGGTTAGGTATAGCTTAATATTGGAGAGTTCTTAAATTTACGTCTTGTAATATGCATATTCCATATTGTTTTTTTTTAACATTTTTTATAGAATTATTTAAAGTTTTAATGTAATTTTCTGATATATTTTGTAATAAATTTTGAACACACAATATGTTTTGATATTGTCAATTTTTTTCTTAAAAAAAAAAAAAAAGTTAGTGATCAACGACTATCACCGAGAATATATCCAAACCTTTTCCAAACTGAGCGATTTCTCCAAAGTCTTCTCAATGCTCTTGATCTCCTCTTTGTCCTTCTCCTTCTCCTCCATCTCGGGCACGTCCTGGGGCTGCAGGAGCCGCACTTGCATCTCGTGGGCGGTGGGGTTGGTCAGTTTGAGGAGCAGAGCTGATGTTGCACCTGGCTTTACTGTTTCGTAAGATATAATTTTCACTTCTGGCACGTGGTAGCTGAAATAAACAGAGAATTGTAATATAGAAAATTATAGATTTTATAGTAAAATCTATGGTTTAAAATTAGGGCATGTGTAATTGTGTTAGTTTTCTTAAGTGCAAAATCCTGAAGTAAGCTTTTTTGATAATACGGATCATATGATTGTTTAACCAAAAAACTCATTTCAGGGCAGTAAGTAACAGCTTATCATCGACACACAGCATATCATACGTCTGTTCAGTGCATGCAAACACGCGTGTACGTGCCTGTACGTGTGTCTGTGTGCGTGTGTGTGCGTGTTTGTATGTGCGTGTGGGTGTACGTCCATCTATGCGGGTGCTGTGTGTATGCATGTGTGTGAAAGGTGAAATTTTAGTACAGGTAAGCCAGCCCAAAAAGAACACAAAAATTTTTTTATATACAATTTCCATATAAGTATTAATGTAAAAAGAAATAAAGCTATTATTATATATATATTTCCAAAAAAAAATTATACATTTAAAAAATTTAATGTATGTAAAATTATAGCAAAATACATTGTAAGGTGCGCATGTACTCACTAGGCGAGCAGCTCGATCTTGAACTTGACGGAGCCGGGGTTGTACTCGGGCTTGGTGAGGTTGTGGTCGCAGGCGCGGCAGCGCTGGCTGCGCTTGACGCACAGCGCGCGCGCGGCCGGCTGCAGGCGCGCCGCCGCGCGCGGCTGCCGCGACGGCGACGCCAGCCGTTGCGGCATCGTTGTTACTGTTGTTTTTCTTATTTTTTTAATTTTTATAGAAAATTTTTAAGTAATTAAACATAAGAATGGAAAAACAATTATCTGAAAGAAAATGCACAAAAGAAGGTATTTTTTGAGGAATCAACTTTTTGTATCAAACTTTATGCAACCTACCTACTATTATTATTTTATAAATAAATTGAGGCAATTAAAATCATTCAGTACTTTTTTACAAATTAACCACAAAATTGGTAGATGTGACAAATTAATTTTAATTCAATAAAAAATTACAATTTTTAATTTTGTGTTTATTTTTTTGTGCAAATTTTTTTTTTAAATGTTATTTGTAGTTTGTACTGTTATCATTGTGTTGGCATATACCTATCATTGATTATAAGGGGATGACAACACTGACTTTTATAATAGTTTTTACGAGCGAAGGGGCTAGGGAATTCATTATTACTTGTACTATACTGTATTTAAATGTAAAGATCGCCATTCAAAATGTTATCACTTGTACAGAGAGAAGACTTGTGTCATTTTGCCAATATTTTTTTTCTAAATTGCGGCATGTAATAAAATTGGTACAAATATCTAAAATACATTTACACAAATAAAAAATAATAACAATATGAAGCAATAAAGTGCCGAAATATTTAAAGGTAAAGATCACCCTCTATAAAAAAAAAAGAAAATAAAATGACATGTCACTCACTCTGTTTCAAGTTGACTTCTAACAAATGGTAATCTTCCGGCAGCTCCTCTACCTCTTCACTGGCCTGACTCGGTACAAAATTAGCAATGGCTGATGATGAGCTCTCACTGGATGGTAGACCAGCTATATTTCGAGCCATGGCCCCAGTCAAACCTGTTTTATCCTGCATAACAATGAGAATAATAATTCATAACTTTTATCGTAATCTATGCCCTTTTCAAGACTTATAATCTATCTCTGTGCCAAATTTCATCCAGATACATTCAGCCATTCTGGTGTGAAAGAGTAACAAACATTCATCCATCCTCACAAACTTTTTCATTTATAATATTAGTATGGAAGTTAAAACCATTGATGAGTTTTAATATCTATTTATACATTAAAAACTTACAGTAAGAGTGATATATTTTCCTCTGATGGCAAACTTCTTCCTCTCTCTATCCAGCTTCTCTTGTTTCTCTTGCTGAGCTATTGCCTTGTAATAATCTAAGAGTTGACTCATTCTTGCAGCAAATGGATTAGTTCTTTCGGGCCAGCCTCCAGACGCTGTTGAGAACCAAAAAAAATCTTTTTTTCACAGTAAGAACTATATTTTATGGTTATTTAAGATCAATGTTTACATGCTTATTTTGATATAAGGAATCACAATTATAATAATTTTAACTCATTTGCAATTCTTTAATTTATATGATAATAATTTAAAAAAAAACTTAAAATGCATCTTAAGGCAATCCTAATAATATAAAGATGTACAAGATAAAATATTAAAAACAAATATGATAACAATCTAATAAATGGAATAAAAAAGGTTCTTTATGAGAGGTAAATAAAGGTAATTATTTAAATCTTACCAACAGGCTGATCAGGAATGCCAACATCTCGGGAAGTCCAACGACAATTAAAACATGACAGATAGTACATCTTTTTAGGTTGTTTATTTTCAACCTTTGCATCTCCAGCTGCTGGATCGTGCCTAGGCTGCGCCAGAGTCGCTCTAGTAGATAGTGTATGAAAACAACTTGGGCAGTCAAAGCAACTACTACAACGATTCTTTTTTAACCTAGCTTCAGAAGATGGCATGTTTTCAAGGCAATTTGCACAGTAGTGAGAATCGACCTAAAAACAAAAATAACAAATATAAAATTATTTCTCATGAATATGTATATATATGTCAATAAAAAAATCCTGTATGTTAATCCAGGGTACAAGTTTTGGAGTATGGGAGAAATTAAAACTTACTCCAATAGAGATATTTACATCAGTTTAATAATGAGTCCAAAATGTAATATCTAATTTTACATGACAAATGTCAACTTAACTTTTTCTTCTTTTTAAACGGGCGAAACGAAATACAAACATATAAAAACAATTTTAGTGTTTCGCAAGAAAGTCGTCTTAATTTTGAATATCACTCAAATCTATCAATTGTTACAGCATAAAACTATAATAAATATATGTAGATAAATTGTCACAAACTACTGCACTTATAAGATTAGTATGATTCTTTTAGTTCAATCTGTTTATAAAAGAACTCCTTATTTTCGTAATATTTTTATTTTTAAAATGAGGACATTTTGTTTGTATTATATTTTTATGACTTTGTCATTAATTTATGATTCAAGGGTATCTTGTTATAAAGAACAATATGATAAATTTGCAGAATTTTTTAGAGTATCTGACCCATACACATTACAAAGAATAAAATAAAATAGAGACTTGAGCTAAATATTAAATATTACAACTTTAATAATGCTAGATAGAAATAAATTATTTTTATATTATTTAACTGTTCTACAATAACAAGTGTGATACAAAAAAAAGTAAAAATTTATTTTAATTTGTTAGTTATATGTAAAAATAAAAAAGGTGGATTTCTATTTAAAAACTCCCAACAGAAATTCGCCTTTTAAACAATATAGCAAACCTTTATATGTATATGTAAAATTATATTTTAAACTACATTTAACTTACTTCATGGCAAATGCAAAAACCGCATCGTATTTTTAAGCAATGTCTACAGAAGTATAAATTTGTTATAGGTTTAAGTTGTCCACAAGAGCAGACATATTTTACATAGTCTGGTTGTGTTAAATAGGCCATTATTTTAATACTTTTTTAACAAATTGAATTTAAAATGAGATTCCGAATCCCGAATTGTTGACTCACTTAACTAATCTGTCAGTTGTCACTGTCAAATGTCACACAGTTGACAGAGGTCAGTGTCAAAATGTCTATGTCAAAGACATTTAGCTTTTTGTGGTAAGGACAACTATCTTCGTGATTAAAAGTCTGTCGGAATGCGTTAAATTAGCGTGGCGCTACGGTAGCAAGTGGATACATTTTGAAAAAAGCGCCAAATCATTAAAAGTTCACAAAAAAATAATCACCCTCTACATTTATTTATTCTACCGTCTATTCGTCATTGACATTTGCTAGAATTCTATGCTCAACTGGCAGGCTTTAAAGTAATTAATGAGATAATTAAATTTAAAATTAAGATTGGTTATCATAACATAACTTATTAACGCAATAATAAAATGATAATTTTTGAAGTTATACTTCTTTTGGCACGTTTGGAAAATATTATGAGGGTAAAATTTTTACGATACGCGCGCACACCGACAGGCAAAAAGCGACATGATGAAATTAGCTCAAAGCGACATGATGAAGCTAGCTGCATTCCTTTTACAAACAGAGAGTTGTGACATACGGGATGTAATCTTTATTCTTTAGTTATTTTTGTTCTGTTACGCCAAAGAAGTACATATAACTTCTTACGTGCGTACATACTCGTAAGTACACACACACGTTTTTTATTTTATTTTTATTTTACATTATTTATTAGTTAAAATGGCACACAAAATATTTACGACTATCTATATGCTACTTACCTGCTGCAGCTCTGCCATTAAATGACGCTACCGCCTACCCCGCATTAAACCTGGTGCGGGAGTTCAAGTAATTTTGATGAATCGGCTAATGAAATGATATTTAGTTATACTTAATTTGATTCGAAGTATACACCTACAAATATATGTTTTTTGGTAATTCATGAATCGTTTTTTGTACTTTATAAAGCTTGTGAATTTATGTAGGTACTTACTTCACTTTTTATGGTATAAGAATTTAAATAAAAATGAACGTTAATCGAAAGATTCAATTTAATAAATATTTTTGATAAAAATATTAAGATTTTATTGCTACATTATTTACGAGTATATACCTAATAAAAGGTCAATCTCCAGGAGAAAGTTCTTATATATAAAGTATTGGAATATTGTTAACCGAATTCTTAAAAGTAGGCCCTTGTTATATAACATGTTTGTGACATCAGTGCTTTTATCGTATTTATAATAATATAGTACTCCCTTTATGTGGGACTAGAAATCCGGCGACCGCCCTCGTCGCCGAGGTCTTAAATATAACAAATTAAGATTTTTGTGACACGTTAAAATTAAACAGGTATCAATACGTTATCCGGGGATAAATTCCGTATAAATAATTTTCTTATATTATGTACATACCTACCTACTAATTTAAACTAAAAATAATTCAACATTAAAGTAGCTTGAACTTAATGTTAGATTATACACAAATATACTTATGTTAGTTACCCTTTACCTAGAAGTTTTATGAAAAGTAAAAAAAAAAATTATAACGATCTTATTGAATGACAGATAATTTTTATTTTTATTTAAATATGCTCGAAATATTTTTATACTTTGCTCATGTAATGAGTATAATAAAAAATTTATATGTATAGACATATTTTCGAATACACATACCTAAAGGTTTCAAAAATGGTATTAATCACTTATTTTTTAATTGATGATTTTGTGTTTTATGTATTTTACGTTTTTCCTTATTTTTTATTATTAATGTTAATCAATGTTTCTTTTTGTTTTTTTATTTTCATTGTGGTCTGCTTTTTATTTGCGTTTTTAATATTATGTGGAAACTCCATTGGTTTATGGTTGTCCTATTATTATTTATTATTTACGTAATAGTGTACTGTTTGTTGCCCTAAAATAAAAAAATAACTAAAACAAAGCTAAGAACACCGGTACACCGGTCACCGGTATATCCGTAACCGGCTAAATCATAAAGTCAGTCATAATCATCATTCATATTTGTTGCCGCGCTATACTTCAACGTTGACTCTTAAATTTTATAAAGTTATCACCAACTTTATTACATTTCTATAAATGTTTTAACATTTAAGTGCCTTTTTTTTAACGTTCGAAAATGCATTTACGCACGAGGTGTGGGACTCACCGGCAAAGCCAGTACTACCCACTAAAACCCAACAAAGCCTTCCCCTGTCTTAATGGGGCGTCGCAGGATCGCTTACGCATTCAACTACGACGCCCCGACGACAGGTCTGCCGAAGCAGACCACAACAACCATGGGGTTGCTCCAAGGTCCACTCTGCTATCAGAGAAGTACAAGGAGCAACCCGCATGGTTCACCGCCCTCCGAAGAGGGCCGCCTCACACCGCCCACCGAAGTGGGCCACCTCCCTGTGCGTTTCTTGGCTTCGCGCCCGGCTGTATTGCTAGGCACTACTGAGCCCCCCCAATATGACAAGGTGAACGCACGTTGGGGACGACGACAGTGCCTGCCGTTTTGGGTTCAGTAGTCAGATTGCAATTGCAATCTATACTAATATTATAAAGAAGCTGAATTTGTTTGTTTGAACGCGCTAATCTCAAGAACTACTCATCCGATTTGAAAAATTCTTTTTGCAATAGATAGCCCTTTTATTGTGGAAGGCAGTAGGCTATATATCATCCCGGAAAATGTACTGTTCCCGTGGGATAGATTTGTTTTTGTCTGGGGACGAACCCGAAGCGAAGCGAGGATGAGTCGCTAGTATTTTATATATACAAACTTATACATATATAAATATTTTTTTATTTCATAAATTTAAATCGTAAATTGTTCTCAAGTGTATATAAATTAATATATAAGTAATATGTATAGTTTTGAAATAAACGATGGAGATTATTACATGAGAATATAAAAAAAAACATACAGTCGAATTGAGAACCTCCTCCTTTTTGAAGTCGGTTGAAAATTATTCGAAATTAGTATAAACTATGAAGACATTATTTTAATCGCAAAACAAAAAATTGAAACTAGAAAGAATGATATCTAAAAAAACCTGTTTCATGATTTGTTTGCCCCTAGTTAATTACCTAAGCATATGGAGATAATAATTTATTTATGTATAGTTTTGCAACATTTGAATTGATTTAAATACATTTAAACTATTTGCATTATTTAAATATGCAAATCTACGAGTAGGTATACATATAATAAAATTGTAACTAAGTCGAATCTGTACATTAAATATTTTTTTGGAAAATCTAATTGAAATAGACATATTATCGATACAGTACGAATCTTTAGTTTTTAGAATTTTTGTCTGTCTCTCTGTCTGTTTGTCTGTTACAGCATCACGAGAAAACCACTGGACAGATTTTGATGAAATTTGGTATGATGATAGCTGGTTATCCGGGTCAACATATAGGATACTTTTTACCGCGGGACAATATCTCATTTCTAAGAAAAAATACAAAAACTGCATTGTAAAAGTACTATGTAAAACCTAAGAAATTTTTTTCACTCTCCTGAACGTGGGCGGAGCCGCGAGCAATGCTAGTCAATTATAATTTTGCAATATTAAAATGAATTATTTCATTAAAATAAAATACACGTTTCTTACTTAAGTAACACAGTTGTAATGAGCATGTAAAGTGAAGCTGAAATTTCATATATTCACATCGCACGCGTGACCTACTGGTGTCGAACTTAAACAAAATTAACGCCTTAATTCATTACACGAGTCTTAGAGCCTGTGATAGGAATAATAAACTTTAAAATTACTTAGAATTGCCATTGCTGTTAATTTACCCATTGTTTGGGCATCTTATAACTACAAAAAAACTATTTTGTTATGTAGATTGGTGCTACGATCTCTTATTTTTTAAATTAATATTATGTACTTAGACCACGTTTTAATTAATATACCAGTCTTAAATCCCTCTGTAGTTTTATATATGTATGCAACATATAAGCGTACATGTATATGAACATAAGCATGTCTATGTTTGGTTATTTAAAAACGGTTTTGAAAGCCCTTTTCTCAAGTTACTTTTTACGTTTTCATCTAACTTTAAAATTAAACCATTGAATCAAATCAGCTGGAAAAAAGTCCTTGACTGTGTTTATAGTTCCCTACTTACAGAGTGGTCGCGGAAACGATAATACCATAATACTCAATGGCGCTATTATTATTAACCAATAACCACGTACATAGAGGGGAAGGTAAAGGGTGGATAAGTACGGCTTGAGTCAAGATCTGGTCTCCTTTAAATATATTATTTGTCAGAAGTCTTACCGATGTAACCGTTTCATTGAAATAATTAATGATTACGTTAATAACAATTAATAATACAAGCAATGACCATACAACGAGCCGTAGGTCCTGTGGATGCAACTTGTATTTAGCAAACATCGCAGCGCATTCGTGCCATTTTTTAAATCAATGAAATTTTTACTTAATTGCGAATTTTCTTTATTAGTAACACTTTTCTTTATACTAGTGTCAAGTTTATATTACAATTGATCGAATAAAACCAAAAAGCAAACAAACATCAAGCAAGCTAAAATTACACGGTTCATGTTATCGTGTTATATTGTGGACTATATGCTATTAAATAATTATTTACTCGGGTAAAGATGTAGGAAATGGATTTTATAATTTCAAAGCCTTGTTATCTAATATAACTATGTACTAGCTTATTTATGCGATAATTGATGCCATTCGCCAAAAAAGTTATCATTAACCTCATTCATTTAATTATTAGGTTTTATAAGAACACGTATAGGTTATTTTTTAATTATAAAAAAAATAGTGACATAAAAGAAAAGCGTTTCGGGTAGCAACACTGATAGTTCTTTTTAAGGTATGCCAACAGGAACAGCGGACAGTCGGACAGGCTGAATGGCTTTCTAATGGCGTAATATATTGCGAAACGAGGGATCCAATTATGTCACTTGTATTAATTACTCACGTTTTTTAACTCCCATAATAT